CTGGTATTTCAGTTAATGGTTTTTTGTGCATGTCTAACTCTGTTCCTAACTATAGTTTTTTCTGTTGCTTAAGCTCACAACAGACATTATGCAATTCTGTGCAGATGCGATCATGCGTTAAACTTTATAGAAAGGCATAAAATCACATACATACAAAGAGAGATAAGTACCACATGAATGTATGTATGATTTTTGTATCCTTCAATTATCTCAAGTCACGCAGAATTAGCCTAAGAGTTCCAGAGAGTTGGCATTTAATTAGGGGATTAGAGTTATTTCAGGTGTATGGAAATTTCGGTTACACACACATAAACACGATGCCCAAGAATGATGCACATTCATATGTATGTACAGGTAATTTTGTAGGTATAAAAGATACACAGAGGTGTACACCCATACATCGGTACATAGGTTTTGCTTTGTCGCTCCGTCGAATAACGAACAAAACTGGTATTTTTTTAACTTGTTGCTGCTGCCTTGCCCCATTCCACTGCCCACTGGCACCCTCCCCCCTACCCACGATGTGAGCTCTGGTTTAATGATTACGCGACGCGGTCGCTGCTGTTGCTGCTGTTGCTGCTGCTCCAAAGTTGACGGAAAGGCGCCCTGAGTGCTGGAGTACAGCGTCAAGTATGTAACGCTGCGCATGCGCCCAGTCTCTCACTCACTCTCTTTTTCTCTCTCTCTTTCTCTCTCTCTCGCTTTACCCTCTCCCAAAAGCCGTTTGCCTAATCGGCGGAGGGAGTAAGCCTCATGCGTAAGCCCAAGTTACAGTGGGTACTAAGCTCAGGCACCACCATCAGAAGCAACAGCAGCAGCAGCAGCTTTACCATTAACAGCGCAAGCGGTGCGGAGCGGTGGTGGCTTCTTAGTATGGCGGCGTTTTGGGCAACATTCCAACAGTGCCGATGCCCACGCATTAACCACAAGTACACCCATGGCACAGAGCTGAATTGAGCTGAGGTTTGTGTGTATAAGCTGGATGGGATTATGAACGAGGGCAGAAGCTACAGTTCTGACTAGAAGGGATCACAACGCTGAGCATAACCATCACTAACCACTAAGAACTAATCTCTATGCGTTGGAATTGAAAGTTTCTTAAAAACGTAACACATATCATAACTCTATTTTTTTAACGCTTTTAATTGAAATCAAATTTTTCTTTGAATAAATTGTTGTTTGTTCATTTTTAATCAGTCTTAACTGATTCATATCATATATTTCATTGAATTCGTTTGCGTGAAAGCCAAAGAAACAGCTGACTGTATATAGAGCCTGATTAAATTGGAAATTTATAAACAGCTGCATTTTTTTGTTTCGTTCAAAGTCCCACAGTTTTCACTATCATTTAGTCAAAACAAAACTAAGTAAAGTTATGTCTATGCGCTTTCAATTTGCGTCCAATGGCAAAAAGGTAGATACACTCAAAGGAAGGTACACATCTACGAGAATACTCGCATTGTTCAACCAAAAATCTGCCACATACAAATGCGAGTTAGTAAGCGTAGTACTCAAAGAACCCTCGGTTCCTCGCTATGCCCCCTCTCCCCGAACATAATTAATTCGAGTGGAGCGTAAGAACTTGGTGAAGTGCAGCGCCAGAATCGGTAGCATCAGAAATGATTGTACACCGAAGGCAGACGCCATCGGAAATGATTTTAAAGTGATGCGGCGGAACAATAGAATTTAATGAACACATCAACTGCGATGCCATGAGGATGAGGAGAACTGTTGCTGCTTCTCTCCCATTCTCGAGTCTACTCCAACTCCAACTCCACTCCACTCCACACCACACCACTCGATACTCGGACACAATTGTGTGGCATTCTCTCGGATCAGTGGCAATTTGTTTCGTCGGGGGATTACTGTACTTTTTTTGTTTTGTTCTGTTTGGGGGAAAGCAGGCTCCCGATCGAGTCTATTCTATTCTATTCTCTGTTCTATTGTGCGGATTGTGGAATGGGGATTGGGTATTGGGTATTGGGTATTGGGGACTACTGGCATTGTCAACTATCAAACAATTGTGGGAAAAGGCGGACAGAGAGGCGTATGAGTAATACAAATTCCTGGCGATCGTTCAATCGCTGATCTCGTATGCGGACCCCGGCCGATGATGATGTATATCCAATTCCCAGAAGTTTGTGCCAATCGATAGGCTGTGTGGCGTCCAATACTAATTAGACGGAGACTGTTTTTTCTTCATGTTCGTGTGCATAGTGCGCTGCATTTGTTGTTTCAAGCCATAGGCGCAGCTAAAGACAATAAAGCTGTACAAATAGCTTAAAACAAAAGTCTTAAATATATGGTTATGGGATGTACATATTTCCTTTGGTTTTCGAAGGTTACTTCGTTGGACATGCGAGTGCGAGGGCTGCACTCTAATTGTTTGTTTTAATAATTTGTAAGCCAAAAAGAGAAGAAAAGAAAGGTAAAGCAAAAGCAAAAGAAAAAGGAAACAATGGCAACAAATGTAGCATTTTACCAGTAAACTACTAACATGAACACTGCACTTTTGTTGGTATTTTTTGTTCAACTTTTTTTGTTTGCTTTTTTTGGTTATTCTTCAAAAGCGAGAGAGATACAGAGAGATTTCGCAACGGTATTACGGGACTTGGTTTTGCTGTACCAAAAAAAAAAATAAAATTTCGAACAACAACAAAAAATATACACAGAAAACTTGGGTTTTTTTTTTTCTTTACTTTTTGTTTGTTTCGGGTCGCGCTCTGACGCTTTAGCTCTAGCCGCGCTCTGGGCCTCGATGCCTCGTTGTGTATGGGATTATTCAATGCCGATTCTGTGCGAACTACTAATGTCGCTTTACTGCTGCGGGTCTGTGCCGTGTCTTGTTGGTAACACTTGTCCGAAGCCCGAACGCGCTCTAGTGGATTACCTGCTAGCGACTGACTGGCTCGACTGTCATTCCATTCCGTACGGTGGCTCCACAGCTGCGGCTGATTCTGTGCATTCATCAATCTCTCTCAGCCAACATTACCAGAGTCGATGTCTCTCTCTCTCTCTCTTTGAAAGCCCAACGATGCGCATCGGATACACCGCCGTCAGTTGGAGCTGAGGCTGGCCCTCTACCCACGAAACCTCGACAAACGAAAGCCCAGCTCGGAGAGCTCACCACGATCGGTATCTCTAGCTCTGGCCCAAAGTATCTCTCGTCGTGTGTTGCCAAACCTGTTACGTTCGTTACTTCCCATTTTCTCTCTGTTGTTTGTTGTCCATTAGAAAAACTGAGAGTTTGCCTAAGTCCCCCCTTTTACTCTCTTTATGTCTCCTCTCTCTTCTCAGGTGGGAGAGCGCCACGTAGTCCAAACACTCTTCAAGCAACGAGAAACAAACAATCGATGCACAGAAAGCCGTCCGTCCGTCTCTCGTTTTAAATCGCGAATTATTTGCCATACAGTGAGACTTCTAAAGAGCAAACATTTTGAACCAATAAATCACAAGAGTTATCTAGTCTTCAGCTTGTTTTATTTTGTTTGTGATTTATTTTTACGGAGGACTATTAGTCCCTTGACTAATAACACTACCCGACAATATCAAACTTATCTTCCCCCAAGGAATCAAACCGACTTTTTCTGATAGATTTACTTGTTCTTTTTTTTTAAGCATTCTTCAATTCTTTTTTTTTAAACTATTATTATTATTTTTTGTATTACTATTATAAAGGTTAAGGTTGTAAAGGTCTTTGGGATTCTGAAAAGCTTCTGAAAAACTCTCTGTGGCCTTAGCTTGACGTCTGCGAAATATTAAGCTTATTTTTTATGCAATTTTCACTTTAAAAACTCAGGAAAAGTCGAAATAAATGTATCCCCTTGGTTCTTTTTTTTAATTTCTTACATTTCTAGCTGGCTAAAAAAGGATGAACTTAGAGGGTTGTAACACAAGTCAAGAAGATTCAGAAGTTTTTCTGAGAAATGTGTAAAACAAATTAAACGCAATTTCTAGTGTCTCCAATGCTCGCTAATTGGTAAACTCCATTGGCATTGTCCATATAATTAGATCTGAAACTATAAGGTTATTAGTAGTTATATTTATAAGGTAATCTTGATTGAATTTCAAGAAAAATTAAGCCAAGTTTTTAAGAACTGGACATGCCATATGAAATGTTGCAATTAAAACTTATCTTAAAAACAGTGCATAAAATTGCAAATACATTAAGGAGAAACGTTGTTAGGCGCGTCTAAAGTCGCACAAGCCCAAGCCTTCTTAAAACGCTTCCTGAAAAATTACGGAAAATTTTGTGGAAAATTAAATGAAAGTCCAAATTCGTCGCATTTATGCCTTTTTATATTTTTCTGATTTTGAAGTATTTTATATATTTTTAGCAGTATTTGGTGTTAATTTAGCAAATATCAGTGACGACGTTCGGGCATAATGTACACATCAATTACTTGATGGACGCCAGCCAACCTACCCACAAATTGTGCTGATGGACATGCTCGAGGCGGCAGAGTCGGTGCCGATCTTTTTTGAATTTCCCGGGTGGTTACAGTGTGACCATCTCGTATAGCCAGCACAAATGTGAATGGCTAAATAAAGCCCAGACTCAGACGCGCAATTTACTTGCGACAGAAAGTGTCATATGCATATTTCGCTATGTGCCCAGTATGCCCAAAGTGCCTGAGATGGAAGTATTTAATCTGCTGATCTGAGTACTCAGCTGCAAACGTCTTGCGTCAAAACTTTCTGTCGAACAAAAAAAAAGGTTGATTTTCTATCGTTTGTATGGAAAAATCGTCTCTGATTCTGTCGCAAGAAAATGTTGTGCATCTGAGTACTGGGCTTGATGGGTAGGCGCCTTTATGTTTGGTCGATTTCGTCGCGACGGGTGTAAGAATATATTTTTGTAGATATTGGATTTATTGTGACGTTGTCTATAAGTCTTCCTATTAGTCCATTTTGCTTTTGTTATCCACTCGGCTAGTATGTGCATATCGTGAAAAATATCGCCAACACAAGAATGGCGTAATCAAATGTGAATGTCAAAAACGGTAAATGTTCGAATCAAGCGGTTTCGAATTTAGCGCGTCAGTGCACGCTGTTTACTTTTTTTTTTAATTGTGAGCAATTTCCGCGAAACATGGACAAACTTCTGGAGGATTGGTCACAGTGGAATCCCATGGTCTTGGATTTTAACAACGAGCACCTTAATAATTACGCAGAGGAGTGTGGCCATAATGTGGTTGAGAAGGCACGAGTGCCCTTGAAGCCGAGCGACATGCTTCAGAAAGAGGCGGCCAAAGCAGACGCGGAATATCCGTTCTTGGTTCTAAAGAAAAAAGTTAGTTTCGTCACCAAATGTGCGGTACTAAATTTCTTTGACCAAAGCCATGTGCGCAGCATCGATATGCAGGCCAAATCGGACATATTCAAAGTGTTCTTCAATGACTTGGGGTAAGTAGGACGGACTTGCGTCTTTGCACCTTTGCTAAAAGAGCATCTCTCTCTCGTTGCAGTTCCTTGGAGGCTGCACACTCCCAACTGGAAGCATTTCCACAACTAATGCAGTTGCATCGAAGACAATTTGGCGGTGAGGAGAAGCCCAAGCCCAAGTCCAAGGTAAGCGATTCAGCCGATCCAGTTAAACTTCCAGCACTGGTGCCAACTGCTCGTGGAAATATTGATTTGAGCTCGCGCACAATACATGTATCGACCAGCGGAAATAGGCATCCGGAGTTCCTGGTTGTGCCAATCGTGGACGCAACGTCCTATAAAGGCAGCTCTCATCTGGCAATTCGAGATGCTGAGAAGCGCTTTCTGAGTGTGAAGTTCGAGTATAATTTGGAGCGCTACGGTGCCTATGTACTTGAAAGAGAATATGAAGATGAATCGTCAACGAAGCCGCTGACGATGCAGCTACGATGCGGCAGAAAATTATACATCAGGTAAGTAAAAATAAAAAACTGAAAGTCGGCCGATGCCCCGTACGATTATATGAATATTCCATTTTGCAGGAGTTCGGACTTGGATGATGTGCAAAGGGATGTGAATGTGGCGGACGATGACAGCGAGGAGCTGGATATGTCTGGATACAAGAAATGCGCAGTCTGCAACGGTTACACATCCACTGTGTGCAAAATTTGCGAAATGCCCTTTTGCGATGCATTCTGCTGGAGCATTGTATCCATGCAGCACGATAAGAAATGTGGCACGGGTCAGGAAGTGGATATAAATGATGAAAGTTTTGAAAAATTGGTACCCAAGTGTGGTTTGCCGCCAAAACGTACCCTGGTGAAGATTACAGCCTTCGAGCAATCGAACGTCGTATATGTGCGCCCGGCTGATACCCTTTCTGATGTGGCCTACAACCATGTGCTCGCTGAGGTCTGGAAGCATGGCCAAACTGTTGCCAAGCTTGACCAGCTGCCCGTTTGTGGCCAGATTGTAATCTACAAGTTCGGGGAACACGTTGTGCGGGCCATGGTGCTGAATGTGGACAATCCGAGGGATATATGCGTGGTCTCCATTGATTACGGAAGCGTTGAATACACCGATCCGGGTAACCTGTATCAGTGCAGCTCCTATGTGAGCGATTTGCCGCGCTACGCTACACCTGTGAAGCTTCGCGGTGTGCCCAGGCGCGCCGTAACACCTAATCTGCGGGAAGTTATGTACGGAATGCAAGGCTGTTCGATGACTTTTCAGCTAAGGTACCACACACGTGAGTACGACAATGACAACCACATGCAGAGGGCAGTGCTCATCTTTCTGGAGAACAATAGAACGATAAACAGTCTGCTCAAGCATGTGATAACACCCATCGAGCCCGATTTGAGTGATCCCGGACTCACTGAAGATGTAAGTAAAATGTTGTTCCATCAGAATTTTGTTATTAATATGATGGGTTTGATTTGATTGTCTCACAAAACAGATTCTGCCGCATGTGGCTGCGCCAACGGGGAAGAACACTGATTTGATTATCACTGACAATTCGTTTCTAAAGTACGGCATTATCTATTGCACACCGACAATATTGGCAGTAGAGATCACGAAAATGCAACGGGCATTCCAAGACTATGGGGAGAATATTGCCAAAGCTGACGCCTATGCCGCTCCGTAAGTGCACAACTAAGAGATAGAGAAATAGAATTCATTAATCAAAATAAATTCTATGTACAGGAAAGGGCAATTGTGCATTGCCAAGTATATGGGGAAATGGAGTCGCGGCGTTTCCATGGAGCTTGTGGGCGATGGCTATCCCAGCATCTTGTTTCTGGACTATGGAAATATCGTACCAGTCCATGTGACTGATATCCGTGCATACCCGCCACAGTTCACATATCCTGTATTGACTACCGAATATGTTTTGATGGGTAACTTGAGCGGAATGCTTCAATGCATTGCAAAGCCATATCTAATTTTATAATTTCTCTTCATCCTCTCGTGCTTAGGCTTGCCTGAGAACCTCAGCGATGTGCAGGTGGAACGTCTCGAGAGACGTCTGGCCCTGGGCGCCATTGTCACCTGCGATGAAATCGTGAAGGACGAGAACAACAAATACTCGCTACTTTTTAAAGATATCCAACAACTTGTTCTGCGATAAAAGTATAACTCTATCATTTGAGTTAACTTTTTTTCGTTAGACTTAATACACAAAATACACAAAGTTGGCGAGTAGATTCAATCAAGAAAGTATATAAGTCTTAATACACAAAATACACAAACTTAGCGAGTAGATTAAATCACGAAAGTATATAAGTCGATTTGGCTAACAATTAACAAGAAAATTTTAGTTAAGCATGGATGAGCAACTGGACGAAATAATCAGCGGGATTATGTGCACTGATAGCAGTCGCATTCGCGAGTGCACCGCCGCATTGGAACTGGCGTTTGAAAATCCGCTAACACTGTCAAGGCTCTGCCAGATACTGGTGTCACCTCGCGAGCCTCAAGTGCGCCAGTTGGCGGCAACACTGATAAATCAGCGACTCAAGAAGCTGCACCACTGGCAGTTGTTGCCGCCCGAACACCAGGCAGCCATCAAGAGCGGCATGCTGCAGGCATTTATTGGGGAGCAGCACAAGACGGTGAGGAATGCGATTGGCCAGCTCATTGGGACTTTGGTGCGTCACGAGGCGGCCAAGAACGACCTGTGGTTGGCCGACTTGCTGGCATATGTAAATCAACGTTGCAGAATGGCCGATCCAAAGGAGAGTGTGCTCGGAGCACTTCTATTTTCCACGCTGGCCGACGCCGCACCCGGTCAGTTTAACAACCAAATGACGGAGTCTTTTGAACTCTTCTCGTTTGTGCTGATGTCAGCCCAGTCCTATGGCAATATGGCCACACCCACTGTTACCAATATGATGGAGGGTATCACCGCGCTTATTCCATTAGTTGGCGGCCACACAGCTGCAGAGCAGACGCTGGCCAACGTTGTACCCCTGATGCTCTCGGCCCTGCAGACATTTGCCCGAATTGGTGCTGAGTCCGAATTGTCCTCCGGCTTTGACATCCTCGATGCCATGGCCGAGCATGCACCAAAATTACTGACTCCGCATATAAAGAGCGTCGTGCATTTCTGCCTGGAGACGATGGCCAGCAAGCTGCTCGCTGATGCCATTCGTGTGCAGGTAGTGAGCTTCGTAGGATGCATTGCCTGCGTGGAGAAGCGGGTGATCGTCAAACATAAACTTCTGGAACCCATACTGGTCGTTGTCGTGGAGATGATTTGCACTGAATCTGAATCTGAAAGCGATGAAGCGGATGCACTGGATAACTACTTCTCGGGTGCAGGCAACACTCCTGGTGCTTCGGCCACACAAGCCCTCGAAATAATGTCTGTTCACATATCGTCTGAGAAGCTTCTTAACACACTACTGCCCATTATCGATCCGGTTATGCGGAGTGGGGATCCACTGTACCGTCGCGGCGGCTACATCTGCCTGGCCCTCATCTTGGAGGGGTGCTCGGAGGCCATCAAGCGCAATAATCTGGAAACAATCTTGAGCATTATTATTAAGAGAGGCGTTGTCGATAAAGATCCTGGCGTACGTAGCGTAGCCTACTATGCCCTGGGTCAGTTCTCGGAGTATATGCAGCCCCAGGTATCTGCATTTGCAATACACATTCTGCCCGTGCTCTTAGATTTCCTGCATACTCTGGTGCTGGAGAAGGCGCTGGACCAATCGGAGGGGCCCTGCTACATGACGTATCGTCGAATGTTCTATGCTCTGGAGGTGTTCTGCGAGAACCTCGAAGACAAAATTGTGCCATACTTGCCAGTGCTGATGGAGCGGTAACTATAATTTACATTGTCTAATCTGTTCTTAGAGTAATCCCCGATTATATTCTCAGTCTGTTAGGTTGCATGGAGCAACGGAAGATCGTACAAATTCGACAGCTGGCCCTGTCCAGCATCTCTGCGGTGGCCATCGCATCCAAAGAGCATTTCTTACCGTACTTTCCTACGATTATGGACGCCCTGAAGCAGTGTCTGGTGTATGAGTGCTCAGAGTCGCTGAATCCGCTACGCATTCAGGCCATCGATACACTGTCCTCGATCTCCCGCACGGTGGGCAAGGAGAATTTCATGCATCTCGCCCAAGATACAACGCAGTTTACGCTGACCATGCTGGAGCAGGGTCCCGATGATCCGGATATGAGGCGTGCCATCTATAGTCTGATTGGAGGGCTAGCTATTGTGGTGACTGAGAATATGGCCACCGTGCTTCCGAAGATCATGGAACGGATTCTACAGACGGTGGCCACCACAGAGAATGACTGCAGGACTAAAAACGAACAGGATGATGATGTTGAGGATGATGATAAAGATGACTCTGACGATGATGAGCTGCAGGTTCAAAATGACTATCTCTTTGAGAAGGCAGAGGCCATATTAACCTTGAAGGAATTCGCTGTCAATTCGTATAAATCCTTCTCGCCCTACCTCACAAGTTCACTCGAAGCAGTCTACAAGAACATTGATCATGGTCAGGAGGTCATTCGCAAGGCATCCGTCGATGCGCTCTGCGCCTTTGTGATTGCCCTCGATAATGTGCTGGACACAGAAGGCGTTTTGCGAGCCTGTGCCATTCTCATGCCAAAGTTTTCCAAACTCATTAAGACTGACAAAGAACCGTCTGTGGTTCGTAATTTACTTAATGAGCTTGATGATCTCATCCGAGCCGTTAAGTCTGCGGCTTTTCCTACTCCTGAAGATGTAGAGATTGTTGTTGGTGCTATTGCAGGTGTGCTACAGAATAATACGGCCTGTCAGTACAGTGTGCACAGTGGCGATGTTGACGCTGGTGAGGTGGACAATGAGGAAAGCGAGTGCAATGAGGTGCTCGTTGAGAGTGCTTGCAATTTGGTGGCCACAATTGGACAAGCTCTCGATCGGGACACATTCTCGATGTGCTTTGGCCGACTGTACCATTTATTATTGGCGAAACTGGTATGTATATCAATTTGATGAGACTTCGCAGTTGCAAATACCCTTCCATCGTTTTTTCAGGGAAACGCTAAGCGAAACGATAATCCAGATCGTCGTTTCCTTGTCTACGGCGTCTTGTCCGAATGCATTCAACCACTGGGAATCCGTGTCATCACCTATTTCGATGCCCTCTGTCCCGTGTTCCTTGATGGCACCAACGACAGCAAACCAGAGGCGCGCCTGTGTTGCTTCTTCGGTCTGGGCGAACTGGTATATAATGCTGAATACAAGTCCTTTGGCTCGTTTTCTGTGATTCTGCAAGCCCTCTCCAATGCGATCGCCAGCGAGACGGATGCCTCAGTACTGGACAATATCTGTGGTGCCCTGGCGCGCCTGATTATAACCAATTTCAATCTGGTGCCTCTGGCTAATGTACTGCCTGTGTTCGTCTCCGTTCTGCCCATTCGCACTGACATAGTAGAGAATGCTATGGTGCTCAAGGCCTTCCGTGTGCTCTACGTGAATGCGCGTCCCAGTGTTGTCGATTTCATTTGCCAAATGGTTTCCATCACTCTACATGTGCTGTTCAATGGGCAGTTTGACGATTGCGAGTCCCATGTCAGTGCCCTCACCTTCATGATAGAAATTCAAAGTGAATATCCCGACCAATTCAACAATGTGGTCAACTCGTGTACGAGCGCGAATTTCTTGGAATTCGTTCAGAGTGTTTTCAGCTAAGCAGATACAAATTTTGCGAATGTGTATATTGTATTTATTTTGATAAAAACATACAATAAAAGTGTAAAATTGTAATTGTCCTCTTAAAGGTTTGTTCTCAAGCATATATGTTTACCTTGTGCCATACCATTCGCACAAGAAATGAAATGAAATTATACATTTTACTCATTGTTCTTGGCAAACGTCTTTGGAAGGGTACTGTTTTAGCGCTAGTTAATTCGAATCACTTTCGTCGTCGTCCAATTCCAAACGGAAAGTTCTTTTAGTCTTCAATAGCTTACGAATAAATGAGTGACTGAGACGATTGTTACGCAAGTCTACCAAATCCAAGCGGTCGGTCGCTATTGGCTTTGTTAAATCAAATTCTGCAAGAAACGGGGAATGACCATGTGAATCAGTGCTTGGCTCGGGAGCTGCTCTGCAATAAACTTACCACTAATGCAGTTGCAATGAGCATACAAAACTGTCAAATGCGGCAACTGGTAAACTATACCGGGCATTGTATAAAATAGGTTGTGTGAAAAGTCGAGGACTTCTAGGGCTCTCAGATCGCCAATCTCAGCTGGTAGTGACGACAACCAATTGTGAGCCAAGTTGAGAACTGATATGATTGGATAATTAGTATGTATGTAAATATGTATGTGTGTACGTATGTATGTGTATACATATCTCTAAGGCAGGGCTCGGCACGGCCCTTTTCAAAGGGTTTAGGACAAGGCGCTGCTGCTGCGCTGCCGCTCACGTACACGCGTATTACAGTGATTCGTACCAATACCAATATAGTTAAATGTTGCCAACGCAAAAACGGCTCGTTAATTGTATGGGTGCCGAGCCCTGCTCTAAGGTAACCTGGATTGATTCTTACATGTAAGATTATGGAATGTTAGGGGCAATTGTGGCTGTAAGCATATCAATTTATTGTCGCTGATGTCGCACTCCTTGACGTCAGCCTCAGCACAAGCCATAAATCTGAATACAGCCTGGGGAATTGCAGTTAGTTCTTTCATTTTTAGATCTGAAGGAAAAAAATTGCAATAGAGTTAATTATTTATGTGTACATATGTATGTATCTGGGAGACTAAGTTCTCTGAGTTACACATGAAATGCTTTGGGGGATAAGCAGGGACGTAGAAGGGACGCTGCCTGACACCCAGGACGGACAGTCGGTAAAAATGTGTGCGCACACGTTGAAAAAGGCAGCGCGATGGACTTGCATAGGATTCAAATCCCTGCATTGAACGAAACTGAATGTGGATTGGGGAAGACCCACTTTTTAAGTGAGCAGGAACAGCTTGTTCCCATAAATTGCACTACTAAACGAAGAGAATTCGAAGAAAATATAAGTTTTGTCACAAAAAAAAAAGTGTGTCTGAATGTGTGTGGCTGTTGCAAAATCTTACCTAAAATTCCAGTGGATCTAGCCTCCTCGCACTTCGGGTACAGCGGATGCAATTCTTGTTGATTTTGATCCATAATTAAACTTTATTTCAATAATATTGTTAGCAGTAGGTACGGTCGTTTTGCAATTGTGCCGCTTGTTATTCAAGCGTTGCCAACAGTAAAAGAGTTGTCATCGATAGAATTTCGTGCTGGCTATCTTATTTGAATAAGTATTTTAATCGCTCAAAGCAATAGTATTTTTATCGAAGGGTAATCGTAAAATTGACTCTAATTATTGTTTGATATGCAATTTCAAACGAAAAATAATATTTTTTTTGAGAATTTGAAGACTTGACTGTTATTGACTGACATTCATTAATAATTAGAATGTAGTCGATAACAATATTGCCGTAGTCGGTCAATCGGTTGAAGCTTCTGACGTCGTAAATTCACAACCTTAATTGTTTCTTGGGAGAATGAAACAGTGGATGGTTTATTGTCTGCATTGTGTATGCATTTCTTTAATAGCCAAATGGTTGGGCTTACCAACGTTAATTCATAATTTTATAATAATTGATTTAGATGTTTTCTTTTGTGTGTGTGTGTGTGTGTGTGTGTGTTTTTCTTTGAGTGTTAAATTTACAACTATAAAAAGAATAAATACGTGGAAGTGGAGCTCAGATTGAGTGAGGCACCGTATCCTTCCCGAGATGAAGCGAGATGTGTTCTTTGGGCGTACGCGAGTGCGTGGGTGTGTACATGACTGTGTGTGTAGTCTGGCGAGTATCTACCAGTCATCCTCATCGTCCTGGCTAATCTCTAGGCGGAAAGGAGTCTCCAAATCCCGGAGCTTGCGACGGCACAGGCGGCCCAGCGGATTGTTTCGCAGGTCAACAAGGACGAGCGATTTGCTCACTATAGCCTCATCGGTATCAATTTCTGCAAATGCATTGACGACAATCGCTTTAGAGGCTGTACCTTGGCAGCTCTAGATTTTACTTACCAAAAATCTTGTTGTCCTGAGCATCCAAGTGTGTCAGACTCTCCAACATAAAGATAACTTGAGGTAAAACGATAAACGAATTTTTGGATATGTTCAGCTTTGCCAGGCCCGTCATATTGGCAAGTTCGTCGGGCAGTCTCGACAGATTGTTTGACGAGAGATTGAGATCTGCAGTTGTCGATAGGTCATAGATTGTTAGAATTCTTAGAATGCAGCGCCAAATGGATATATGCAAGGGCTTACCTGTTATGGCGCTGAATTTCTGCGTAAATTTAGGTGTGATTGATTTGAGATCATTGCCACTCAGATTACAACTCTGCAGCACTGTGTTACGCATCAAATGGTACACAGCGTCCGGCAATGTCATCAGTTGACATTCGGAAAGATCTGCAAATGAAAATGTTGATTGCAATTATGTTAAATTATGCATTGTGGCCGAGGTATAAGAGTCGAGACGTGATATTAATACCAGTATAAGAAATTCAGAGCAAAAGCATACGCCAAAAGCGAACAATGGATGGCGCTTTTGTAACAAAAAAGTTTGAAAAAGCTTCAGTGGATATGTATGTATTTATGTGTTCATACATGTATGTATGAATATGTGTTTACGATCTACGCGATTTTTTACCCAGGTGTGCACTTTCTTCTGCCGTCTCGCACTGTTGAATCACCTTCACCACCAGGTGCGCCATCCTATATTCTCACAGCTGATCGGTTTGTACGTCTTATCAGCGGGTTCTGTTCTGTTTAGCTCTCTGTTTGGGCCCCTCGATAAAAACCCAACTACCAACGCGACGCGAATGTTGGCCAACACTGATCAGCACTCGTGGGGGGCGGACAACTAAAAATATAAATGCGGCTTTCCCGCTACCACACGCAGGGAGCATCAGCATAAGCATTAGCTCTCGCTCTCTCTCTTTCTCTCTCTTTCAGCGATCGAAAAAGTTGGAAACGTGCGGGTATAAGAGTGACGAGCTGAATTTGGTAAAAGTGTAACAGTTGGATAGTCTTCTACAGTCAGCTGTCCAGAGGCATACTTTTGCTTTGCATGCAACAACAATGCGGTAAGACTTTATACATACATATATGTACATGTGTATGTATGTAGGTAGCAAGTGTATCGATGCGTCATTTCTGAACGTTTCAAATCAAATCAACTTGACTCGATCACTAATCTTGAAAAAAGAAAGATAAACAATTTGTGTTTTGTGTGTGTTGCCACTTATCATTGAATTGATGGGGCGACAAATTACCTTTCTTTGATAACTTTATACATATGTATTTGCCTCTGTACTTATGTACATATGTGCACACATCCACCTGCACCATCAAATGTGATAGCGACGCACTTTGCGTGTTCACCGTCTGTCGGTAAGGATGGGGGATATGGATTGGATTTGTAGAGGCACACTCAATTATAAACAATTTTGTTGCACTCACTCGCGTATAGGGAAGTCAGTGCGCAATAACTGAAATTGGCTCTTGGCCAATTTCTGTTTTGTTTTGAGAGAATTCCATATGGGTATTACGACTTACATATGAAAGAAACATATCGAAAAGACGGAACAAACAAATATATTCATTTATATGTCCATATGTATATGTATGTAAGGTCTCCCTATCAGACCTTGGATAAGGGGACCCTGGAGCATACAGAAAACTACAATGTATATGTAAATATATCTGCAATGGGAACAAACTGCGTTGTGCGTTGGACTGTCGGAACCCCTCGCACCCCGAGCAGATGGGGTGTACACTTACCCAAATGTTTATTATCCTTCGCATCGTCACAGCGATTCACCACCCGGATGACCCCACGCCCAGCAATTGGAGAGAATGTTGCAATGCCACCTATGCGGGCGATGTGTGCTGGCAGTCTGGGATCGTCTGTTTGCTCGGTGGAACTGTCGTTCAAACTGTCCACGGGTGTGTTCTCATCGCCAGCATTAAGATCCTCACCGTCACTGGAGGTGCCATCAGCTGTGCCGTCAGTGTTGGTTCCGTTGTTGGTCGCATTATTGGGCGTATTGTTTGCTCCGTTGCCTCCACGACCGTTGTTGCCGCCGTTGGGTCCATGTCCTCCGCGATTGCCACCGTTGGCACCACCATTGCCGCCGCCACTGTTATTGGACGCAAAGTTTGTAATATCGTTACCAAAAGGCCGCATCTTAATATCGTTATATTCGTTATCTGTTTCGTATCTATTTTTTTAATTCTTATCCCCTGCTTTTATTAATATACAGAAGTCGCTTGTTGAAAGCTTCACTGTGAACTTCACTCGAAAAAAAATGGTATTTATTTCACAGCCGGATTTTTGTGTTGCCTTTTCGAGTTGAATTTACTGAATGAGCATGGGATCGGATCTAACAAAAGGTATAAAGTCTCGCTTTTACAATTTGACTTATTTCGAACGTCCTACTGATCCGGTGCGAACTGAACGTGTGTCTCTTGCGCATTGAAATATTGAAAATGCTTTTTACTTTCGGTTTTTATAGCACGGAAGAAGAAAGAAAACTGCGCACAACAAAAACACATGAACAAAATAAAATGCCAGGAAAAGGCAAATAATAACACACAAATTGGCATTTTCTTATGGCTATTCGAACACAGGATACTCTTACTGATTCATATACATATGTAAATAAGTGGAGATATGGAAGATTCTTACATTAGGAGCTTTTTTGATAAGATAAATTGGCGTAACTTCTATCTCTTCTAAGCTCTCCGGCAGAAGGAATAATATCTCTAGGATAATCCATAAGAGAAGCAATCACAATGGGATCTTTAATAGATAAGGCATAAAATGGAGGAGTATTTCGTTAATTTTCAAACAATTATATTTAGTAATGTAATAATAGTATCTTGATAGTTAATATGAAAATGTGATTGGCAATACGGTCCAAAGACCCATAAGACTCCATCGATTAGAGTAGCGTTGCATCGAACGAAAATGTCTTGTCATCGTAAGAGCAATAGCCTCTGATATAAACAGTATTCTTTCTCTTGGCCCAATGTCTCTTGTTCTGCCCAACAGAAAAGAGTAAAAGTTCAATGCAAAAAGAGAGCGCAGCTTGAGAGTGAGAGAGCACATTATCAGTGCGAAACGCTTAGAACACTTGTACCGAGTCGTATATGTGTGCATGTGGGCAGCCGAGTGAGGGGTTGGGGGTATGGTATACTTATAGAACCGACTTTTACGCATCTTCTCTGCTGAGATGTACCGGAACTGCACATATAGACGAAATTTTCCGCACACTTGCGAGTCAAAACAAATTGACAAGAGCCAAGACATTTCCATCTAGCGCATATATTAACATACAATCATATATATATATATATATATAATTGTTCACTAATTAATGGCGTTGTTGCGTGTTATCAACTCGACAAAGAAATGTCTGACAAGGACATGTATACGTAAGGCCATTCCAGTCATTGTCTTGCTTGATTTATCATGAATCTAAAGTGAATTTTTACATTCGATAGGTACGGTACCAAAGAAGACGCAAAAGCCCTAAAAGCTTGTTCTCAAAAGCTCCTCGTCCACAAGGTACCTACACACACTTTACTGTTTTGTGCGCGGGCGGCTCTTATATCTTTTGTGCGCGGCTAAGTTTCGGTTAGGTTTAGAAGTAAGCTTCAGTTTAAGATTGGACGGAGCGTTCATATTAACTCCGACACGAGTCGTAAAACCTTTATTCGTATAATTATATTGTTGAGGCTTAAGGGCCAACGAAATAGAGGGCAGTTACCCTCTCAACATACTCTTCGGTAGAAGACCTAGTTGGCTCACGGCAACCACCGTCCACCGCTACAAGAGCGGGCCACGGAAACCCGATCGCTGCCGCCGCAGCTCGGACCAACACCACATAAAGATAATTTACAAGCTTCAAAGTTATCCACAATAATATGGGTGTTTATAAGTAAAACCAAATATGAAAATAAACCTAAATGGGAACAAGTAATATTTAAATTAAATTAATATCAGCATTCTCTTGGGAATTAGCCTTTGGATAAGCAGAATAGAATAACTTGCATTTTAGGTTTAAAACTTTTATTCATCATAAAACAAAACTGAAACACTAGAGATATTCATTTGATATTGAATTTTGATGCATCCAACGTTTAAATATTATATACAAATCTGATAAATCTTAATACCGAACCAATAAACAAGTAAAGCATAAAGGTCAACGGAACATTTGATTGGAATAATCGGGCTAAAAATGAAATACTTTTTAGGTAAGAGTATGCCACAACACGGATTAAAAATGCCCCATAGGTTTCTTCACTAACACATTTCCAGTCTACGATCTTTAAAATTAAGTATACGAATCGACTACGAGTACATACGGGTAAGTATGTGTATAGCTGGGTATTGTATGTGGGTAGGGTAGGGACTATGAATTATATTCTACTGCAGAACGACGCCCTGGGCATGCTGTAGGCCCGTGCACAAATAGAGCATGATAATACTGAGGGCCTGCACCCGCTCGTCGGATCTGTTCTCCACACTGATCGTTGATGATTTCCAGGCCGATGATTCTGTGGCTTTTTCGGCATCGTTCATCATAGTATAGCCCTCTGTCTCCGCATCCAAGGCTATCTTTAGCTTTGTTAGCTGCAAAAAGTACAATTTCGATATCAGAGCGTATGGTGTGTAATGTTTCGGGAATTACCAGCTCATTGATTTTGGCCACTCGCTCGTCTGGCGGCGCACTGGAGTACAAATGCTTGCTGGAGCTCTTGGCCAGGTTCATCAGATCCTCGTTGCGGGTGTGACGTATGATTGGCTCGGTGATGACGATAACCTGCTCGAAACTGAGGACTGTGCACTCCGCAGGCAGTGCCTCAAGGTGCTGGGTGACACGCTCGAAGGGATTCTGGTGCCCCATTGTTGCCGGCACCGGCACCTCCTCCACAATTGATGATTTGCTGGGGCCAGCAAAAAGAGATGTTCAGAAAAGAGACTGTGATGGACCCTTCAGGGTGGACTCACCGCGAGGGCGTGTGCTGAGGGCTCGGCGGTAGGCTCTTCGAGTTCATTTGCTGCCCGCTGCCAGTCAGCGACGAGACAATGCCAGGTATGTCCAGGTTGCTTGCCTGACGCTTGATCCCCTGCGCCAGCATGCCCGTCAGACTGGACCTGTGCACATCCAGGCCAGCAGCCTGCACTTGCACCTGTGCCTGTGGCTGTGCCTGTGCCTGTCCCTGTTCGCCTGCCATCGCGGCTGCCTCCTCCAGTGGCGCAGAGCCCAATTTAGGCTCAAACAGCTCAAGGTTCTCCGCCTGCGTGATGGTGAACTCCGGTCTGGTCACACCCGAGGGAGTGGAGGCTGCGGCAGTTGGTGGCTGCGGCGGCACCGAGCCCGAACAGTCTACGGGCCCACAGACAGTGGCATTCTGGCACTTGGCAATGCACTTCTTGTGACAGCACATGGAACACTCCTGGCACTGCATGGCGTCCTTCAGCCAGATCTTCTTGCCACAGAAATCGCACTGTGTGGCCCGATGGAAGTGCGTGCGCACAAAGCTGTGGGCACGCGGGGGAGACGCACTGGAGGAGCCACCACTGGAAATGGCACTGTCCGCGAATGTGCTTGATGACTTCGAGGAGACTGTTTCGGATGAGGGCTCGTCCTGTCCACCACGTTCGAATTGGGTTCTGCAGAGAGGAGTTGTTATTCAAAATTGCAAGCAATGCTCAGTGCTTACCTGGCTGGGGAATGCGACTTGGAGCCGCTCTTGGTGGTGGGTGGATCGCCTAGGCTAACATTCGGATTGCCCATCCAGGAGAAGCCGAAAAGAATGTCGCCAAAGCAGAGATTGGGATTGAAGCCAGACTGATTAGCGAGGTCGTGCATCTTTCTGTGGATACAAAAGGGCAGATTTCAATTACTCCTTCCTGTAGAAGCAATGGTTAGGGTGACTGCAATGCTTACCCTGCCTGCAGGGAGGCCGGATTGAGTGCTATCTGCCGCAGGCACTGATTCAGACTCGTCTCCGAGCACTCGACGAGTATCTGGCCAATCTGGACATTGTTGTAGCCCAGCAGGACACTCTCTCCGGCACACTTGCCAAACACACAGACATTGAGGAAGCGACTGTTCGCATCCAGCTGGAAGCTGCACACATCGTCCATGTGTATAAGGGGACTGAAGGGGCAATCGATCGTCGCGTGCTGATAGAAGTAGTTGACCGGCTCATCGGTGCCTCGCTCCATGGAAGTGTCATCTGGTTTATTTTTGTCCTTATCCTTATCCTTGTCCTTGTCTTTTTCCTTCTCCTTCTCCTTCTCCTTTTCTTTATCTTTATCCTTATCCTTGTCACTGCTCTCACGGCTCATGGTCTTCTTTATGGCCTTGGCAATCAGATTCGACTTCTTGGGGGAGTTGGTGGGCGTCTGGCCCGTGAGACCAGACTCTGCCGTTTGGCGGCTAAGGCTAAGGCTGGGCTTTACCGCCAGATGCTTGGTTACCGTCTCCGTGGTGGTGGACTCCGTTGCCTCGGGGTCTGCCTTGGAGACGGAAGCGGAGGGCATGTCGCAAAGTTCATCGTACTTCTCCAGATCCTCCAGGATGGCATCGTTGCGTATGATGCCGGGAATGACACGCTCGATGCGCAGACAAAAGACGGTCGCCTGAAGGGTCTTCACGACCTTGGCTATCTGCTGGATGGTCGTCACCTGCTTGCCCTCAATGGCCACCAGTGCATCGCCGGCAATGAGATTGGACTTGCATGCCGGTGTATTCGGCAGCACGGACTCAATCCGCACCAGCTGGCTGGTGCTCTGCTTGAAGACGATGCCAATCTGCTGGTTCTTCGCCTTGTGGATGAACACGTCCAGGGAGATGAGCACATGCCGGTGGTCCTTCTGATGCGCTTCGATGAAGGGCACCGGCGCCAGGGTAATGGTGCAGTAGGTATCGCCATTGCCCGGCGATGTCCAGGGCATCAGGCGGGACAGCTCGGCCACCTTCACACTGAGTAGACCATTCGGCTGAATGTCACAGTCGACGACCTCCTCCTCGGCCGTCCAGTGGAAGAAGGGCTTGTAGCGCAGCTTGTAGTTGGGCAGGGTGTGTTTCCGCCTCACCGCCTTGCGTATCTGATTGGAGATGAGATTGGTGATGTTCGATTGCATCTGACGACCCTGGTACTTTGATTCGATATCAAGAATCAGCTCCGGATCGCCCAGGAAGCTCAGGGACCAGTGGGTATACGGCTTTCGCGTGAACTGCAGACGCGCCATGCCCGACAGTTGCTTGACCTTCAGCGTGATGGAACCCTTCTTGCCCAGCACCATGTCCGCATCGATGGACGTTGAGAAGTTGCCCACATAGTTGATGTCCAGCAGCAGATCCAGATTCTCGATGCGCTGCTCACGCTCATCCAGCTCCACATTGTGCACGGAGAGAGATTTGATGTCCGGAAACTGATCTCCCAGCTCCAGTTCTTTGATCTGAAATTGGTCCCGGCAACAGTAGTACCTTGTGCAAGAAGTTCTCTGAGGTGAAGCACTTACCGTTAGCTTGTCCAGTAGCTTGCCGGTGGTTGTCTTCGTTATCAACTCGTCCAGTTCTATGGAGAGCTTCCGATAGAACCACTTACGCACTCGATTCGAGTTTTTGAACTCATGGAATAAAAACTGCATCACAAAGTTGAGGGAAATCAAAGCTGAGGCACCCTGGAGACTCTCCTGATGGTTCTCGCAGCTGTTGATGGGATTGGGCGGGGCCTTGAGATTCCTTGCTGTCTGTTTGATGTTCTGTCAATAGTTTATTAAAAATTAATGGGATAGATGGATGGCAAGCAGGGACATACTTGTGTGAAGGACTTACCACAGGAAGGGTATACTTGGCATTCATTCGCTTTTGCTCCTCGCTCTCGTCAGGCAGATTGGAGAACTTTATAAATATCAGATACTGTAACAGTATCATGATGACACCGCCAATCAGCAAAAAGATCAGGCACAGCAGCAGTATATTCGAAATGGGTATCTCCATGTTGTGGTTGGTGGTGCCGGGGGGGTCTTACAGGGTTGGGAATTTCTAGTTGACTCTAGTAGGATATGCGAAGGGCCTCTGCTCACGGGCCCGAAACTTCTTGCATGCCACACAAATCCGAATTTCAGTCTTCTCAATTAATTTCTAGATGTCTCGCCCATTGCACATTGTTTGTATTGTTTGCATTGCCAGCTAGCAATATGTCTGTCTGTTTGTCTGTCTTGCAGTGCTAGCTAATAACTCCATCCATTGGATTCTATGTGCTCTAGTGCTCTGTGGAGGTGGCTTTCCTCTGTCTAAGGTGGATTCTCTCGGTGCGGCACCGCTGCTAACTGCTTCCAATTTGTTGTAACTACTGTATGCGCTGTGGCCCAAAATCAATATGTACCCATTCGTAGTTGTGACTGCGCCTTAGTTTGCTTTTGGCCTTCCCTGCGCATGCCCCCTGGACCAGCTGACTTGGCTTCCTAGGGGGTTGGTTGGATTTTGCCCAGTGTATATGCAGAGCTGTGCCCAGCTGTTGGGCTGCCTCTTCACACTCCATGCATCCAGCTGTGGCTCACAGGAATCATGCAACCCCATAAAATGGTGGGAGTGTAGTCACAGTAGCCACAGTAGCCACAGGGGGTTGCACGACGACAAACACTTGAGAAAAACTGCAGGCCCAGACAAGGGGTTGAACCACTTGAAGGACCTATGTACATGTATCTACACCAAAACATTGATTATGATTCATCGTAGAATGTTGTTCATTATACGGGAATGGAACTCAAACTAATTTAACTGTTGCAGGAAATGCACCGCGAAAGACATGAATGTGAGCAGGATGGCAGACCCACGTAGTTATCCATCCACAGATGAAACCTCCGTAAATTTCGAAGGAGTAACATAATAATATAAATAGAATAAATAATAAATTGACATGGCTAATAGAGTAAGCCTCTAAAAACCTCATTATAATAAATAATATTTATCTATAATAATAATATAAATAATAAACGTCTTAATTTTTAATTCAATTTTAAATAGCTAACTAGAAAAAAACTTCAAGTCACTTGGGTTTGTCATTTTTTCTGGCATTCATTTGGTTTTATTGTTTTTTGTTTTAGTTTTTTTTTTGGTTTTGTTTTTTGTTTTTTTTTTTTTTTGTATTATTATGTAATTCCTTTACTTTATGTAAAATAAGAAAGTATTAATAGTTTTTTATTAACAAATTTGTTGAAGGCAGGTATTTATGTTATTATTATATGTTTTATGTATGTATATCTTGTGTATAATTACAAGTCATCTTTTTTTATAATTATACATAATTAAACGTATTATTAAATATAGTTCAATTATCTCTAGCGTCGTCTTATCCATTAGTTAAACTGCGTCTTCATTTACTTAGTGTATTCAGTTATTCAATATATGTATAAGTATATACATACATATATGTATATGTATACATATGTGTTTGTGTATATATGTATATACAATATATATGTATAATGTATATGCGCAATTATCATTACATTGTAGCCTTTACCATTAAATTGTTCTAATTTAAATTAATATATATATATATAGTATATATATATATATAAACTGGTATTACGTCGCTCTTCCCGTCCGTCTACTCCCCAGAGAGACCACATACTATCCCCCAACTACCACTATATCATCATCATATCATATGCGATTTCTTGTTTTCCTTCTCGTTTTGCTTTGTATAAAACTCCGAGCTACTTTTACTTTTAAGATTTCTCATGTGACCTTTTCAAACCAGACAGACAGTAAACAATTAACAAAAATATACCGAATATCGCGAATCGTTAAGTTAGGGCTCAAGTTTCAAGTTCAAGTTAAGGTTAAACGTCAACGTCAACGTCAACGTCAAAGTTAAGGTTGCGGTTAAGGTAAAGAAAATAAGAAGCATACCGGCACTGGGCATGAGCACAGTGAGCACAGTGCGATGTGGTGGACCGTTTTGGGGTTGGACCTGGGACATAGGACCTGGCACGACAGCAGCCACCGCATGCCGTACCCGGTGCTCATTGGGCCATGGGCTACTCATACATACACACAAGTATAGTACTTCCAGTATTCCACCACATCTCCTTCAGCTATATCTCTCAAACGGGTTGAAAGTCGAATGGAACGGGGCATCGGATATCGGGATCGCAGTGGAGTTTTCGGCAATATCTGTACAGTAGTTCTATGTATGAAGAAAATCCATCAATTCAAGAACCTGGAAGAACAATTCGAACTCGCAACGCTGGGCAGCGCATGTTAGTAGTATATATAAATATATTTAATTATATTTATAGGATACTTCTTCAGTTTTTGTTTGGCATCTAGTTTGGTAGATGGAGGGACGTGGTTTTGCCTGCTGGCCCCCTAATTGTTCTTCCCCGAAATATCGTCTATCATCCGATCTCTCCTGTTCATGATCTAATAATGATCTAATCCCTGCCTGCACATGGCTCCTAATCAATAAACATATTTGTGGTTATATGTGGTAATTACTTTTGTGGCTAAGCATCTGTGGCGAGTGTGGCTGTGTGAGGTTGAGAGCACTTGGGTAGAGTTCGCAGTCGGCCAGCTATGGGCCCAAATGGGAGAAGCGAAGTTTTTGCTTAGGGCTTAGGGGCTTAGGCCAAATTGAACTAGATGCCAATCATTTGCTAAAACTAAATGGTTCCTCTAGAGGCATAATGGATTGGATACATGTATGTGTATGTACACATGTACGATATCAACATAATCTCTTATTATTAATCTAACTCTCACATTTTGTACTCATTTCCACTTTTTGATGTTCCATTTTGTAGTCTATCAGTATTTTTCTTTTTATTTTTCTCTTTGTTGTATTTTTTGGTTGGCATTGAAAGCGAAAGGAAGCCAATAGCTGACACTCCGTGAACTCTACGCTGCCCTTCACTACATACCCATGAGGATTTTCGAATGGATGGCCTAAGCAAGCAGTGCGTATGTGTTTACGATCTTAGCTTACGATAAAGGATTCGAAAAGAAATATATTCGTGTTAAATACACATATTAACTGAATGAATGAACAACAGAATAATTAAAAGGAATTCTATTATTGTTGTTGTTGTTGTTCCTGTGGAAGTAGTCTAAGGGTGGCACCTTGGAAAAATACAAGTACATACATATATTCGTGTACTGTACTGTACTGTACTGTGTTATATGCAAGGCAAGCAAAATTGGCGAGCGAACGAAGTTTCTATCAGATATTATTTTTGTTTTTGTTTTTGTTTCATTTTTCCCCATTGTTTTAGCTATGGTTTCTTTTGGTTTTTGGTTTTGTTTTTTGTTTTTTGTTTTTTCATTTGACACTAGTTTATAGACTATTGTATTGTAAATTGTATAATTATTCATGTATGTATGCTTGTGAGTGTGTGTATATATAAATCGCGCTTGGTATGTACGTTTTGTTGTTGTTGTTGTTGTTGTTGTATGTATCCGTAAGATAATATAATTATTAAAAATGTATGCACTTCTATTTGTCAGTTTTGCTGTATTCGGTTTTCCAGTTTTTTGTTTGGTTTTGTCGGTATTTTCCGTATTGCTAAGTTTTATTACTCGTAAATATGTATAATTATTTTATAGTACATTGCTGTAGTGAACATGGCTAAGTTGGTTTCGGTTTGGTGTTTGCTTCTTGCTTGGTTGTCTCGTCTTTAATGTCACCCTCTGCGCTGCTCTGTATGCCGCTCTCCTAAAACCCTACTACTCTCCATTAATCGTAATCATAATCATAATCATAATCATAATCATACATCATAATCGTATTCGTATTCGTTATCGTAAGTACATTTTGCTGTGTAAATTCGCATAACTGCTCAGCGGTTATAATTATTTACTTAAGTTATGGATTCACTTTTGTTTTTATTAATTACAATATTTGTGCGCTCTTCGATATCCCGTCGTCATGTTCCTAATATAACCCCATGATTCGTCGTCTATCTAAACACTAACTGGTTTTTTTTTTGATTTAGGATCTTATTAGTCAATCATTTGATGTCTTATGCCTTGATAAACGATCTGCTGTGTCTGCGTTCATGTGATTCCGATTTCGATTTCGATTTCGATTCCGAGTGAGTAAGAAGGGAGTGATGAAGTGTTTGTGTGTGTGCATGAGATTCACATTTCATTTTTGCATGAGAGCTGGAGAGGTATACGGATACTGGTATCTACATATGAACGTTAATGTCGCTCCTGATATAATCCGAAACAAATTGAAAGCAGATTCATATTTTTCGAATAATAAAATGGCAATGTATTAAGGCTTTTTGCTCATAAAAGGCAAGATTAGATAGGCGATATCGTATGTATATTTAAATGAGAATATCTATCAGGTATGATTCATCATTTACACTATAGCTTACACCTCGCATCATCATGTACAGACTTTGTTCTTAGAACGAATCGGAAACAGTTTAAAGCTTCCTTAATTTAAAGTAAGTTTTCTGAATGCAAATGAAAATGAAAATGATGTTGATTGTTGTTTCAGGTGTTTTAATAGTTCCGCTACCGTCCTCAAAGTCTGTACAGACACAGACTATAATTTACATAGATACGTATGCATGCAGCTGGTCGTATGATTGAGAGGCTGTCTATATTGTATATTGGTATTGTATTGGGTTTTGATCTTGCATTACTATTAGTACTCGTTATTATTTTAGCTTTTTAGTTTTAAGGTTTATGTTCGATTAATCAAAAGAGGGATAGAGAGAGAATATACACGAATGAATGAGAAAATCCTTAGGTATTCAAAATGCGCATTCATTTGTAGTTGTTTGCTATTAAAGTTGAAGTATTTGGTTTTCTTTTCTGGGCTTTCGTTTACGTTTCCTGTGTCCGTCTCGGTCAAAAGTTTGTAAGTATGTGTGTGTGTGTTGTATAATCGTAGTCGTAGGTAAATACATTACATACAAAAAAATTGGATATCTACATTTTACTTGTATGTACAGGGAGAATAAATATATAATTTTTGCATTCTGCATAAATGTACATAATTGAATTACTAACTTTAAATACAAACAAGACAAAAACGCTTGCAGATTACAGATTCATCGAGCTAAGTCCTAGATAAACCTACAATGTATAATGTATGCGACGAGTATCCTACAATATTTACTACCTATGTATGTATGTTGTAGACCTACAATCTAAGTATGTTCTGCTGCTTTTGAAATATAGTTCCCTTTTGCTGGTTGTTTTTCTCTTAGGCAATTTAGTACAATAAAATACACTCTATCATATCATATCATCATATCATTATCATTCATATCTGACATTGAGTTTTTTGCTATTCCTATACCTATTTATATACTCTTATTCATCTTCCCTAACCTCCTCTTACTCCTCTTAGCGATCTCCTATTTTCATATTCCTTGATCTCTCGTACTTTTTACATCTCATTTCAGTTTCAGTTACAATTAAAGTTACACTTTCAGCGGTTTCTGGTTCTGGCTCCTGTTCATCATCATCATCATCATCATCATCAACAACCCCTTTTCCTTATAGCGTGTGATACGAATACAGCGGATGGTGCGGGTGATGTTGCTGCGAATGCGAATGCGACTGCTGCGGCTGCTGCTGCTGCTGCTGTGATTGCTGTGGCTGTTCTTCTGGCGTGTGATAATGATGGACAGCAGATGCTGCTCCTGCTGTTTCTATCCAATCATCATGTACATCGAATATAGCATTATAATTAATGTCATTATCCGAATAGATCTTTTTAATAGCTACTGGTGTTGTTATTATAATTGGTACACTTAATATCATTGCTTCATTTTCATGTTGCCTTGTTGTTCTTGGCGTTGTTGTTGCAGTGTTGTCGATTGCTGTTGTTGTTCTAGGCCTAGTCCTTGGTATATTTCCTATGAATTCTTCATACTCAAAGTGGGGCGAGGTTGTTCTTGTTTCCGGCAATGAGATTGCCATCAGTGAGGATTCGTACGGCTTGTGGCAGCATGGTAGCCATTCATGTTGCTGATGTTGTTGTTGTTGTGGTTGTTGTTGTGATACTAATAGTTGTTGCATTTTCTGTTCATCCATTGCTCGTTGCGATTGCGGTTGTCGATTTGGGTTTGTTGATTCTTTGTGTAAGCTTTCTACGTCTTCAGCCAATTTCTTGACATCTGGTGTTAGTGTGGTGTGGGTTAGTGTTAAAGTGGATCTTGGTACATCTACATACCGATGATTGATTGGTGTTTGTCGGAGTAGTTGTTGGTTCAAGTGTTGGTGTAAGTGTTGGTTTTGGTGTTGTTGATTTATGCGTCGTATCGTATCAAAATTGTGATCTAAATTTGGTGCTGAATACGATGAGCATATGGCCTGATGTTATACCCAGATCTGATCCTTTCGATTACGCGATCGCAATCAAAGCCTTTGCTAGCACCAGTCCTCCTCGTCGGAATCGGAATGTCGTGTATTAAGTCCGCTCTTTGGCTTAAAACCATTTAGAACTGGAGATGGCAGTACACGACCTGTTCGGCCCATAGCCAACGCCTGCTCAAACGACAGCGGTGCTATATATTCCAGTCTACAACAAAATATATAATATTTAGTTTTAGAATTTTGGTTTAGGTCACAACATGCCAGTTATGAGCACTCAATTTACCTTTCTCTTTCCACCTCCCTTTCGCGATCACGCTCCCGCTCATACAACTCACGCTCCCGATCTCTGTACTCGAAGCGCAGGTCATACTCGTGCAGGCGATCCCGATTCCGATCCCTAAGGCGTTCGCGATCACGCTCGCGGTCTCTACTACTATAATACATATCTCGAGGGTCCCGCAGCAGGTCACGATGATGCGGCAGAGAGTGAACACTGTGGGGCGTTGAGTGGTGCGTCTGAAGAAGGAAGCAAATCATTAGCTGGGCTCCATTTGGTATGGAATTATTTCAGAGATTGCACTTACGTGAGTTGGACTCGCATTCAGCTTGGGGAAGTTAATGTTGGTTGGCTTGAGCTGCAGTGTTGACGGTTTGCTTGGAGTCGGTGGTAGGCGTCGTCCAATTCCAGCACGACGGGAGGCTAGCGTTGGGTAGCTATGCTGCACATGCGTGCCACCTGTCAGGGTAACACAATTCAGACAAACGATTAGATTACTTTTCCGTTCAACTGTCGCTTCGATTAACCAAACGCAATGTATGTGTAGCATAAATCGATGCAAATAAGTTACTAGTAATATTATGTATATATAGTATAGAAATGACATTGAACGGTGAGTGCCTACATTGTTCTTTATTGCGCTATCAACATGGGGCAGACTCATAAAACAAGGAAATAAAACACGAGTATATACAATAGAAAACAAACAAATTTCGAACTGATTCGATTGGAGCATATTCGGATTTTGTATGATCTTTGTGGCAGTAACGTGTACACAAAACGAAAAAAGTTCACAGACGGACAAACGTATTCATTTATAACTTAAATTCCATTTAGTTTTGAGAATTTTCCAAAAACCGAACATGCTCCCAGGTCTTTAAAGCCCCTTCATGTTTCAACAAACTTGTTTTACGCCTAACATATTTAAATGTAAGAACGCTAAGCAGTTTTGAAAAGGAATTAAATGAATGTATTCACTATATCATATGTTATGCAAAATGTTTGTCGAGGAAGTGATTTTTTTGCTGGAACTATCTTGAAATCGTTTTCAGCGCCAGACAGACGACCTTGAATATATGCGATATAGGCGAACAATAACAGTAACAAGTGTGCTAGAGATTAGAATATATGTATAATATATATGGTACATCAGTTTTTTTTTGGATGATTCAGGGCTGTGGTGGTCGATCGATAGCTAGTAAACATGCATGACTGTGGTGGGTACGAACGAGTAAGAGTAAGAGAGAGAGAGAGAGAGAGAGCGACGAAAACAGATGAAAATCAGAGATTCAAGATATCAACGGAATAGTACGAGTGCAAAATGCTAAGGACAAACATTCACAGATAGTCAAGATAGAGATAGATATACACACACAAGTCTAGATACTGAAAACACCCAAAAAAAAAAAAACACAGAAAGAAAACTGCATCCCAAATTAAGTATTTCTCTAGTTGTACTTAGTATAAAGGCTAATGACAGTCTTTTGACCACCCAAATATTTTATGAATATACATTATATTTGTTTATAGTAGAGAAATGCTCGAGAATGAAGCCCTGACACTTTTACGGGTGTGTAGTACGAGTAGTAGTAGGGCAAAGAAACAAGAAGCAAGCTAAAATAGAGATTCTTGGTCAGTAGGAGGATACGGCCCTGGGATACGCTTGTAACTACTACTAACGAAGGTCATTTCTCCGGCAATGGAAACGTTTCTTGCGGACCAAAGATACTGGTGTTGTATAAGACAAGGCTTTACGTTAAATCCCAATCCCCCACAATGTCCTTCCCTAAGTTAGTCGAGCGTCTGTCTCCGTGGAATACGGAAGGAATAAGTAGAACAATTGCAGTCGTATCTAACCAGACTTGTTGGTAATCTAACACATTTCAAATATCTTACAACGCGTTAATAAAATTAAATAAAAAATTAATAAATAAATAAAAAACACGTTATTTGCCAGAGATATTCTGTGTGTGGTTTGAGTTCATTTTGAGTATGAGTATGGCGATGGATGAGGTAGGTCTGTATGTACATGGCACGAGTAGAACCATACATAGTACGAGTTGTGAGTTTACGAGTAGAGTATAATAAGTATAAGAGTAGTAGGTGGTTGGGTGGTAGTATATGGTCATCTAGAGAGAAAATGAAATGGAAAACGATGAACTGCTGCGTAACGCTAGGAGTAGTAACAAGAGTACGAGTACGAATTGTTGAGTACATATTTGATTGATTGATTGATTGATTGATGGGTTTTTGGTTGTTGTTTGTTCGAGATGGTAAACTCTCTAAGCTCTCAGCTCTGAGAGCGAGAGTCTGTTGTGGTGTGGTTTATGTGTTAAACAAACTATTCTGTTGTTTAAAGCTTATGATTGATTGACTGATTGATTGACTGATTGTTTGACTGATTGATTAATTGAACGTCTTGGCATGACAATTACATGTACATGTTAAGCATGTATTTGGCAACTATGTACGAATACGAATTAGTTAGTTACGAGTAAGCATGTCTGAGATCTGATTTGATGTTTTTGTTAAAAGTAGAAATATGATTGAAGAAATTTGTGTAGGAGAAAGTAGTACTAGCATATATAGAAACAAATTTTTGATTTTTGATTTGATTTCGATTTGATTTGTAGCTTGATTTTTGATTTGATTTTTTTTTGGACTTTAGATAACAAGTGCTAAAGATGTACCCATATCAATCCCATAACCAAGTCTGTCTCGTTCACGCATCTCCTGAAGTCGAGCGGGACTCGGCGATCGTGACCTTTGACATAGACTTGTTGTCCCATATGTGGGATAAGGCAGTTGAGTGCGTTTACTGCGAGACAAATGACCACCATAACGAGAAGGCGAAGGCGAACGGGCCGGACTTGTCGATGCTGACCATGAACCTATATTGTACATATAACAACAATAATAAAGAAAAAGAACGTAATAATTAAGGATGTCGGGGCACAACAGATTACGTATTTTTGTTTAATTTTTTTGGTTTTTTTTTGTATTTTTGTTAGGTTTTTTGTTCAAGAAATTGCATTAATTTGTATAGTAATGTTTGTATCATTTTTGTTTTCTCTTTCTCCGATTAGTTTTTGTTTGAAATAGGAAAATGAAAACGATATCGATTAATAATCGAACAAACTGAGGACAGAACCAAAACGGAAGGTAAATATTTATTTATTTGGAATATATATGTTGTATTTGGTTTCAAAAAGATTTTCGTTTAAGGCTATTGGAATTGTAGACATATATATCTGCATATAACTAAGATACTACAAAATAGATAAAAAAGATGCCCCGGCAAATGCCGAGTCATTGCTTGGTCACTCTGTGTGTACCCATTGTAAGCACGAATAACTGAAGTGTGTAGTTCTCGAATTAAAATAGGTTAGGCCAAAAACATCAAATACGGACAGACAATTATGAATTTTCTGTATAGTTTTCCAAGTACTATATATTTTCGTTTTGATTTAATTTTTTTTTATTTATTTATGCGCTGCGCTTACAACAAGCACACATACGGTATCATTTAGCTTTATATAATAGATGCAGTTCATTTCAAAACAATAAATACCTCTTGGATACCGCGGGTGGCTGTTGCCATGCCTAGGATGACGAGTCTCCTTGACCATCTCTACAACATTAGATACGGTATCGGAGAACCCGATATCATGATGTATATATTGATGGCCACGTCGTCGAGGACTTGGAGATCTGGCAAGAGGTGAGCCATTGTGCCTGCAAAAGGATACAAATAAATTATAAAACAATCTAGTGATAAGCATAGAATTACTTACCTCAAACTAGGAGATCGCCTATGGCCGTTCATGTACGAATGTCCAGGATGTAAATGGCCAGCATCGGCACCGGTAAGCGACTCCTGCGATGGACGTCTAGACGCATCTTGTAGCTCCAGCATCTGTTCGAAAGAATTTTACAGAGGCAATGTGATAAATCAGTTGCAAAAACCATGAATGACCACTTGAAATCAGTCTATTTATTTAATTTCTTCTTTTTGTGTTTTCGAGTTCCTTTTGAGATCAGGGAGTCTACGGGGAATACGAACAATTTTAATACGAATTTTGTTTTGAAATTCCTATTGTTGACCGATTTCTCGTGGATGTCATTCATTGGTCGGGTTGCCAGCATACAGAGGAGTATATCTGTGTATATATCTGGAGTATACATTAAGAACTACGGATTCTTCTCCTGTGCTCCTTATAGGAGCTTATAGGAATTCAATATATATATATACTATAAATAAGTATATATTGTATTTGTAGATATGCTTTGGATAAAAAAGCTACAAAATAAATATACATTGACACATGTATGCTTACTTTGCTGAGTACTATATTGGTAGAGTATAAGGGGGGATACGTATATATGGGTGGGTAGTAGTATAATCAAAACAAATATTAAGCAAATATTAAATACTTTCACTGCAACAAAAATACATATCCAAATGCGGTTTTAATTGTACTACATTGAAGTATTCAAAAGGTTCTCAAATGCAGGATAATTATAATTACGGTTTAAGTATTTATTATGTAGAGATTTGGATTAACCTATTTATAGGGCGTGTGTAACATTTAAACAATTCCATACACTACTTTGGGAAGGGCGGAGAGTATACATATACATACATATATATACTGGAACACATTTCGATTCATTTCTTTAGGGTTTATCATAGTAATGTTGCTAATCGTAGTTATTTGTTAAATCGTTTTGTTTCGTTAGCCAGATGATCTGGACACTATCTCGTTCTCGTTGAGTTGAGTTTCGTTTCGTTTCACTTAATTTGCCAATTTGATTGTTTGTTTTGTTACCCAGATTGATCTACATCATTTGGAATAGTTTGTCCTATATTTATAATATGGTCTCATACAAATAAATTGATAACTCAATATAAATCCAAACTAAACATAAATCGATTGGTGGATACCGCTATCTACACTCTAAAGAGAGGCTATCTACATGGCCGTGATGGTGGAGGTGGAGTGACTGTCGTTTGCATTCCGTATCTTATGGTGTTTAAGCAGTGCGAAAGCGGCGCAAGCCATTTGAAGCAAAGCCAAGACCGAACAAATACAAAAATCTAAGCCATATTTTACACTACATAGTGGGTATATTATATAAAAGCATGCAGACTAAAAGTGTGTGAATTCATAGGATTTATGTATGTATATTCCGATTCTATAAAGATGTGTTCGTGTGAGTTAGTATAGGTCAAGTCCTGTATCCTTTTCCAATATTCGAGCTTTACTTACCACAACAATCGAGGATTGTTCGGAGGGGGTACCCACTCGTGTGAGTTCGTGTGACTTTCGATAGTGTCAAAGTGTACATAATATTAAGCTCAAATCGAAAAAAAAAAAAAAAACAAATACTATGTACACATAAAGCCACCATCGCCATATGTATTAATCTAGGATAATATTATGGCCAGAAACTCTATATCTGTATCTGAATCGAACTGAATTATCTGTGGTTCGCTGAACCTCTAGCAAAAATACAAATCATAGTTTTAGCTATTATTAAGCTATTTAATTTAGTAAGAAGTACTAGCAACTTTTTATATACCAACTATAAAAGGAATACATTGTTTTATCAAAGAAAATGAACATGGGGTTTGGTTCCCTTGGGCCTGGCATATCCTTTTTTCCTGGCAATAGCATTCTCAGCATAGTATCTCAAAGTAGTATTTTCAATACCAATTCACGAGTAAATACTCTTGGCTTTATGTGTACGTAGAATAGTCTATATAGCAATTGGATTGATTGATTTTTTGTCTGTTGGAAGTCGGATGATTGTTGTCGGAATGATGAGACAAGAAGAGTTAGAACCGCCAACTTTTACCGATGATATTATGTCGCTTGAGATTGAGTTTGAGGAAAGACTCAAAAAAAGTACTATTTGACCGATATTCGATTTTGTTTGTGAAATGAATGAGGGGGATTTTTGGTGAATCAATTCTTACAGACATCTTGTGTTGCAGACAGGTGTGTATTGTACATGAAAACCGAAAGTTCTTATACATATAAGGCTATTATTACCACTATTTTTGCTTCAAGTGAGTAGGATATTGCTTGTCAACTAGTCTGTAAATCGGTGAAAAGGTGGTCGCACACTCGTTAGGAAAATAGTATCTATACGGTTACAAGTCCGCTAGTCGACTAGTAGTCCAGCTATTCATTAATTTTCAACCAAACCCACTCAACGACTCGATGAGAGATAATAATTTTGTAACCATGGGAAGTGGTTTATAAATATATCATACGACTAGCAGGATGAGGGTTGGAACGGTTGGGAGGGTGGGGAGTGGGCTATCGTTGAGTGGAGCCCTCGGTTCGGTCCACAGTTTTTTTTTTCTTCAACACGTTTTGCCCAAGGAACGAGAACGAACGAACGAGTACGCTTACGAGTACATTGTACATGTACGAGTATGAGTACGAAAGTATTTGGTTATACAATACGAGATCAACGACCAAAAATTACAACATTGAGTACGAGTACTAAGCGAAGATTGCGTTTCTAACGGTTTTCAAATAATTGCTATGCAACATTTATGTATGTACGATTAGTATTTTTTGTAGTAGTATGCAGTACTATTTTAGTAAACGCAAATTGAAGACTTATTTGTATAGTAAGTTTGGGGGTACACACGACACTCACACACACACTTACACTCAAACTCACACCCAGTATACATGCAGCCCGGTTCCGGTTTTCACATCCTTTTGCGTTTTACTTTTTCAGGCGCTATGGTTCTGAACGATATGGTTTATTTTCTCATGTCCTGCTAAGAGCATAATTTAGTAATGTTAAGTTAAGCGTACACGTTACAAATGGCCTCTGTTGTAAGTAACAGAGACAGGGAGCGACAGCATTTAGCCCAAAAACGGAAAATGTTCTTGCCCTGCAACACTTTTTTCAGATACAATTAAAAGATTGGGTCGCTGGCCGCTTTGAAAAGTGAATTAAAAGTACATTTTTAGAGATAGTGAAAACCGGAGCCCGCCTGATAATGCATGCACCGCAGGATATTATACGATGCCATGATACGTACATGGTCTCCTTACATCGTAGTAGGATACGACTGGTACCTGTGAGTGGAGAGTGGAGTGCGTGTGCGTGTTTGTATTAAAAGGTAGTAGTAGTAGTAGTAGTAGTAAGTGGTTTTTGTAAGTACTAGTGTTTTACTTTTCGACTTAATTTGGTTTTGTGAACAACATTTATATTCGGAAACGGATTATGGACACAAAAAGTATTCACATATATATGTTCATATTAATATACACAATTAGTTATTAGTCTGGGTTTTTGTTTTAGTAAAATGTTCGATAAATGTTCATAGATTGGTTTACCGCTTGGAGTTTATCAAACTTATTCACCTTTTTGTTTCTGAAATATTTAAAAATTAGAAGAAAAACAATTTACTTATGTCAATGTAGGAATGTACAAAAATCACAAAGAAAGGTAGTTCTTGTGGTTAGTTTTGTTTGGTTTTGGTTGGTTGCTTGATGGTAGTGTTGGTAGTAGTGTTAGTAGTATTTGTAGTGTTGTGAAGCGTATTTTTAATGTTTCTTTGTCAAATCCTTAAATACCCATACACATTTACATAAGTATGTCTAGAATGTTGTGTTTATGCATTTATGCGCATGGTTTCTGATATGATCAAATTCCGCAGCGATTTGCTCTCTCATAATGATAAATGCTCCATGGAATTGAAGCAAATACTCTCTTGCTATGCAAGTTGAATGTATTATTTAAATCATTTAAAGATATATTATCATTGATTTGAAGACAAAATATTTCAAAAATACTGTGCTGTATTTGAAGTATGGACTTGGATCCTCATCCTATAGGATTGCTGGGACTCTTTAGGATGGAATGGGAAAGCATATTACGTCTGAGAAGTGCAAGAGCAGTATTAGTTAATGCTTAAACAAGCACTTAATTTTAGAGTCTTCGAATTACAACTTAGCGTTTTTATCTAAATGAAATGCACAATATGTGAAAGGATTTCATATCAGTTTAAATGCACACATGTAAATGTGGATCCTACATTTGAGTTTGAAGGTGGATTTCTAGGTGGATTTTTTGATGGATGATTTTTGATGATTAATGATGATGATTGGCTGACAGATGATGTTTGATGGATGATGGCGTTTGGCACTTTTACGGATTATAGTTAAGATTTGAAGCTTGTTTGTAAATTACCTAACTGACCGCTTTCTGATCGTACTCCGCCGTGCTAGTGTTGCCAAACTGTTGTGTTCGGCATCACCGTTTGCGTGGTGGTGATGGTGCGTGCTCGCTAACAAATGTGTCTGTGAGTTGGCGGCTCCTTCCCCATTCGCCTCGAAGCTTATGGAATTCTGACGCGATCCTCCTTTGTCGAGGGCGGCCATATCGAGCAGGCAGTTAAAGAATGATTGTTTCTATGTTTTTTTTTCGATATCGATATTCAAATTGCCATTCGTAAATGTTTTCGTTTCCGTTTCGTTGTGTTTCGTTTGGTTCGTTCAGTGTGGTTTTTTTTTATTTTTAGGATTTGTTGCAGATTTCAAATTTGATTGATTGTTTCATTGGTTGCAATGGTTTATCGGTAGAAGTTATTTTGTAGAAACAGTTGTAGTATTTTTGTTGTTGAAGTTGGGTGAGTGGTGATAGTATTTTTTGATATTGATATTTATGGTAACATTGCAACGCATTAGGATTGGTTTTTGTTTTTGTTTTTGTATTTGTTTTTTTTTTTTGTATTTTCATAAGCATTAAAAATGGAATGTAAGAATTATTATAGAATAATTGTAAAGATGTAAGTAAGAGTTTTGGTTTTAGTACAGAACAAAAAATATCATTAAACATAAATCATAATCGGAAAAGAATTAGATGGTAACTTTTCATATACATATGTATAGTATATAGTTATATACATATGCACGCATATAATATAATATATAAGGGCAAATAGAGCTTTTGCTGAATATATTGGATTCCTTTATATTGGTAAATTATATATAGGGTTTTGGTTGTTTTGGTTTGTGGTATATATGTATATGGCATAGCATTTCGAGATGTGTCAAGCTCTATGCGAAATGTGTCGATAGGATGTAGAGTAGAGAAATGTTTTTGTTGTTTTAAGGTTAAAAGTTAAGGTTTGTAATTATTGTGGTAGTGTATGCTTGGATGCTTTCGCATTAAATGTTTATTTAAGTAAGTTAAGTATCTTAAAAGAGAGAGACTTGCTGGTTACATTTAAAACATGCGCAAACTTTTGTACAACTCACTAGGATTTGAAGAAAATCTAAGTAGTACCACTATTATTATGAGAATTGTTATTATTGTAATTTTTTAGATTGATAATTGATCGTAAACTGTTTTATGTGTGCCAATTTATAGAGAATGGTGGACCCACGGAACAGGTGAAACTCGAACTGAATCTGTTCCGTTTGATAAATAAAAGAAAATCGATTGTAAAAAAAATAGCAAAAAAAAACATCGTTTTGAGTTCTTTATAAGTAGTACTAGCGTTTCTAAGTATTCAATGGAGATTCAGCGTCATTTTAAATAACTCATATTTTGAGTTTGATGTTTGTTTTTTGCATGCTTTCGATTTTTGATTTAGTTTCAGCCTTTAGTTTGATGATTGTTTGATTTATTGGATTGCCTTAATGTAAGCATTCCAAAATGAGCGCCAAAATGCTACAAGAAAACTCAAAGGCAGATCGACAACTGAACAAAACATATTAAATATAGGACATTGTTCTGGTCAACGCATTCTACAGATTTCTCTTTGTTTCTATTTCCATTTACTTGTTTTCTCTTTTTCAGATTCATCTTTTTGTTAAACTTTTACATACAGGTTATACTTTGATTCAATTGGTCCCATTCATTTTTTTACGATTTTTATTACAATAACAATCGGCATGGATATCATTATCTAAAGTCAAATTCGTGTTGTTTAAGGTATTTTTGAGCTCTAAATCGGTTTGTGACTACTGGGGACTAGTTATTGTATTGCATTGATAGAGTGTACCCGTTGTGACCTCTGTTCTCTATAGGTATGCAAGTTATGTGTGTGGTTTATTTTGTTTTTAAGTGCAAGAGTCGATTCAAACTTTGAAAATAGGTGCACTAGTTTCGATACATGATGAACAAAAGTGTGTGGAACTATTTTAAATCAAAGACAACAACTCATCCGTATTTGTTTTATTTTTTTCAGGCGCAAATGCAGCAGCAAACACATGTGTAGTCTTTCAGAATCGCGTGGGGGTAATACAAAAAACCCTACTTTTATGTTTAAAACTTTGTAATTCCTTTTGAAAAGGATTACATCTGGGGAAGCCTCAATCGAAATCATTAAATATTCGTTTAATCTATTAGACATTTGTGGATATTCATTTAGTAGACAAACTACTCTAAATCAACACCTTTCCAAGGGTGAAAGAGTATCAACGACTTAATAGCGTTTGCAAAGGCATTCATGTACCTACTTCTCTTTGAGCTCAATTTGTCTTAAGCTATTTATACATATACATTTTTAGATATGTTTTAGGTCTCTGCAATATTTTACTCTCACAAGAATACACAAATTCGCAATCGAAAGAGGGGAAAATCTTTTTGGAGATGGCTTCGATCGCTTGAATGGCGATGGGTGTCTTGAGTTTGCGGGAGTATCAATGGGCGGGCAAGCAGCATCTAAGATGTGCCGGAGGGGATCCAGAAGCAAGCATCGTTTATAGGGGCGCATATTCCTTTCACTATGGACGGCACAGTCCCCGAAAGGAGACAGGGATCGGGTCTAGAGTGTAGGATTTAGTTTGGTGTGTAAAGCGAAACAGGACCATAGCATTGCAGTTGGGTGTTGCTCTACAGTTTGATATATTATAAAGTTTATGTTGTATAAGGACTTGTAGTATACATTGTGGGGCAGGCTTATATGCTGGTTTTCCTAGTTATATGTATGCACATTCCTAGGCGAGTATGTATGTTCACATGCCTCTAGCCGATAAGTCAGTTTGATTGAGAGAGAGAGAGAGAGAGTGGTTGGTTGGTGGTAAGAGCAGTACAAGAGAGTAGTTTAAGTGGAGTGGGAGGAGCTTCAAAAAAGGCGAAAACAAAAACAAGCGAATTATTGCATAGGCATAGGCATATATCTATGAAAATATATAGAGTATATACCGGCTCCTGGACGGCCGTTGGGCTATATTTACGCTCGTCGTCGTCTTCCGGCTTCTTCCGCTATCATTGCCATTTGCCATTAGAATATTGTATTGCCATTTGTATTTGCAAATGGATTTTTGTGGGGTCCAATTACAATGTTAAAATTGAGAGATTCATGATTTCAGATTCAGATTGTTTCAGATTCAGATTTCGTTTTAGTTTGTGTTTGTTTTGTGCACAGGATAACAGGATAACAGATAAAACACAATTTCATTAATTATTTCGACACGTGTGTGTGTGATCATATGTTTATGTGTTTAGTGGGTGTGTTTTTGGATGTGCCCTCCGCCTATATACAGCGGAGAACCCGCCTCTAAAAACTAGAAACCTTTTAATTATCGCCAGATTCGAGTGGATGACTTTGTGTTTGTTTTAATCAAATGGCAAACCTCTAGAAATATATCTAGGAATATCAATAGGAAAGTTTACTTACAGATCTAAAAACTTGTTTGTACGAAATATGGTATTAAATTCTGATACTAACGAACGAACAATACAATCGCAAACACTCGAGTAGTAGTAAAGTAAATTACGTAAACTCTTCAATTTCTACCGAATACGAGTATATAGATTATGTTTTAGTTATGTATGCATTTGATACTTAAGGATAGATCGACTTTCTACGATTACAGTACTCATTGCTTTCAACATATAACGTTCTGTAGGAGTTACTGAAATACGAGTTTACTTCTTTTCATCCCAAATGGGTTGCAACATTTTCTGTGTCAATTTTTCCGATTTGTTGTGTATTAAATGCGTATTTTATTTTTGATTTCGAACGAAGAAAACTATGCAGCCCATGTCTGCCCATAATAATAGTAATTGTAAACACGGAATTTGGAATTTGAGTGTTTGATCTGGTGATCTGGTGATCTGAACGGATAGGTGGCACAATTATAGGCAGCTTCTTGTGGATATATGTAGTATTTGGTGTATTGACTATTTATTCTTTGGAGTTTTCACTAGTTTTCACATACAAGGTATGTGTGCAACATACAGAATATATGGTAGGTAGCATTGTATATACAAATGTGATAAAACATGAGGTTGCATATAAAATTAATTATATACCTCCTTCCAGTTCTGCGTGTATTTTTTGTTTCGTTTCGGTTTTTTTTTTCATAGGTATTTTTTTTGTTGCAGGTTTTTGTTTTACGGTTTTTTCAATGAGAGTTAGAGAGGTTCATTGTCAATCGTATGAGAAGAGAAATCATAATATTACATATTTATTCCAAGTCATATACATTTTCATTAAAAAGTTTTGTTGTGTGTTCTTTTGTTTAACTTCCATTTGTTTCAGTAGTATGTATCGGTGTGTTGTGTTGATATTAGGGAATTGGAACGTTTTCCAATCCTCCCCGCCAATGCAAATTCTGTTCTGGCTACGTCTTTTTTTTTTTGTTTAGTAGTAGTTAGTTTGTGCTTTGAAGATAGTTAGAGTATCTGGTAGTTAGATCGACAGCTAAATAGTTCATAGATAGATGGTTTGCTTATGTACAATCTGTGACTGTGGCGGGACAGCACAATGTCTAGGACTTAGACTTATGATAGACTTATATCATTACATGAATAATAGCATCAATATATAGTAGTATTAACCACTTTCGTTCTTCGGTGGTGCATTTGAACCAAAACAACGAATCGAACAACTAAAAATTAAACAAAATCATATCCAAAATTTTCCTGAGTTTATTCCTAACTGGGTGATTGTTGATGGACCCCTGGATACGTACTCCAGAGCAGCTCCTAACGACACTTTGATTTTTCTTTGTTTTTTTTTTGTTTTGTTTTGGCACTTAACATATGAGTATTCTTGAGGATTATGCGGTTCTCTGACCAGAGCTAGGGGGTGGTGGATAGGTTAGGACTTCCTATTCATTCCATTTAATTTCGACTGGAGTTGAACATTTTGTGTGTGGACGTTGGGGTGGTGGGAGGGGGGAGAGTAGGGCCGATTGTAGAATTATGTGCTAAAGTTGACTTACCGGCATGCCCGAATCAATCTGGCCGAACCTCGTGTTACGCCAGGACTCCAGTATGAGGAACCCAGCGTAGATTTTACCAACTGAAAGCTTCCCCTTATTCAGCTGATCGAGCGGTGGCACCAGCAGATTCAGCATCTTCTTCGCCTGCAGTGGCCAAATGTTCGTAATGGTTTCCCTGAGTTCCATGTCCGCCTGGTCCATTTCCTCAGCTAAACGAAGGTGGTACAGGAAATTTATGGGTGTTATATGACAAGCAACATGAAAAATCAATCGAATCAATCAACATACGCGCTCGCATTTTAATGCTTAGATTCTCCCGAATCAAAGCGAACAACGTTGTGGTAAACTGGACTCTCAGCTCATCGTCCAGCGGCATATTCATTCTGATCAGTTTCTTGTAGGCCAGCCGATTGGGACACTTGTTACCAAATCCCAGCGGTGGATCCATATTCTTAAGCATGTCGTACATTTCCGTGTAGTGTATTTTACCACTAATTCATACGAACAACAACGAGTAGGAGATGGAGGATAATTAGTTCTGGTGCTGCTCTGTGCTTCTGCTGCTGCGTGTAAACTCTCAATCCAAAAATAAAACACAAAACAGTGTGTGGATCTTCGGTTCAAGCCGAAGACATGCATATATCTACACAATCGTAGTGTGTACTTGTCATCGATCGGACTCTCCATATGCATGGTAAAGAAACTTAAAACTGAAAATAGATAAACTCAAAGGTGGGGTGTTCAAGGAAGGGTTCAAGCTCAACTTGTGCACACAGTCGGCTCCTACTTGGGAGAGCCTTAAAGAGTAGAGTCCGTGTCTCGAACATTTGATATATGAATCAAATACGACCAAATAACAATCGTTTAATATAAAAGTGCACGCTTGATCGAATGGCAGGAAAATAAACTGGAAATGGTCAGGAATAACTTAAAGCCAAAATATTTTAACTACAACTTTGTGGTAAGAACAAAATAAATTGTGAATTTTGAGAGTAAAGTGTGTGGTGGTTGTGGATATGTGCATATGTGTTTCGTGTGTATGTCTTTTGTTGTATATATTAAACAGATAATTACGTCGCATTTGGATCATATTCCGCCCATATGCGCACAAATTCGTCTAAGTGATGAGCACCCAATATACTGGAGTCCCTTGTGAGATAATCAAAATTATCCATGATGACGGCGACGAACAGATTCAACATTAGAAACGAACAAAAGAATATAAACGATACGAAGTAGGCATAGGCCAGCGTTGATCCGCAGTACTCGCCCGGGGCCTTCTCGGCGTCCTCGTCACAGGCTTTGCCCTTGAGGCAGGCCAGCATTATGTTTGGCCATGCCTCGCCCGTTGCACATCTGAATATCCGGGAATAATACACCAAAAATTAATACGAAATTGGTTTTTGTGAGGGCGGGCAGTTACCCGCACTCAAAAAAGAAACAAACTATTTGTAAGATATTATATATTTTAATTAACTAATTTTAAATACGATCGGTTCGATTTGGGGCGTGGGTAGGGTATGCTATGTGTCTTGGGGGTGTGTGTGTGTGTGTGTGTGTGTGTATTTACATATAGTAGCACTCGTTTAGGAAATCAATTTGATACGCAGATATATATTCTAGTATATATGTAAATACGACGTGTGTACATAAGTGTATATACATATAAGGAGATTGCAGTAGGCGGCAGGATTTACATACATATGAATGATTTATAGTCAAAGTAACTCCTTTAATGTATATAGAATTACATACACACTAAAACTACTACAGCTTGGCAAATACTTAGGGCAGTTACTTTTCGGACAGACACGACAAAGGTATATAGAGAGCGAGAGAGACTAAAGCCAATTGGATATACGACTATGACGGCATACATATTAGTAGGTACTTTTGATTGAATTTTCGATTTATTAATATGAGAGATAATATGTATGTACTTTGAGTATATAGTTTGAATGGGCTGGTGAATGGACTGATTAATGGCAGTAGTGATGATCGATCACAGAGTGGAATTACATACAGACATACATCAACTGGCAGTTCTATTAACTTAATTATCATTAGATATAGTATATAATGTAGCATATAGTATATATATATAGAGAGAGAGAGAGAAATATAGGTGGTAAGTTGTTCGAGGGGGTCGTATATGTATAACAGCTATATATTTGTTTATGTAGTATATAACTAGAGCATAAATTACCAGTAATAATACTGCAAAAATGATTTCAACTCTCATTTAAATTCTCAACGGTTTAAAACACTGCAACAACGAAAAGTGCAAAACTTTGGCAAAATCAAGCTCCGCTTTCAAAATATTTAATAGTTAGTTCTACAGGTTTTTGGTTTTTGTTCTTTTGTTTTTGTTTTTTGTACATACATAGGTAATACATACATAAATATACTATATCGCACTATGCGGCATACGTACGTGGCATACATATGTCGCAAATGTCGATTTTGAGCTATTAGTTTTTTGTTTTTTAGTTTTAGTTGTAGTTTTTGTTGTTTGTTAGTTTTAGTTTGATTGATTGATATACGGATATATATTGTTGCTGTTGTTTTTTTTTTGTTTTTTTGTGGTATACATAACTCTAGAAACCAAGCTACATACACAGGTATCAATCAAAAAATTGTAATTGTTTAAGCAAAACGAATGTATGTAAGGTAATGCTTGAATCTGATTTGTTTGGAATTGGATTTTGGAATCAGGAGAGAGACAGTGAGAGAGAGAGAGAGAGTGAGAGAGAAAGAGAGAGAGAGCGAGACGAGAGCGAGAGAACTGAGCTGATTATTATTTTGATTTTGTTTATGGATTTACCACCGTTCTCTACTGTAGGGCTGCCTGCCACATATATCCGAACGAAGTGCTCATTTTCTTTCATGTGACTAGAGAAACCAATACACAGATTATACATATATGTTGTACTATAGTCTAAGTCTAGGACTCTAGAGTTTTTGGGTAAAAAATGAAATCTAGGTTGTTGTTGGAACTTAAAACTATCCTAGAAGCCCACCCCAAAACATCCCAAAATGAAATGCTAAGCCATTTTGGCGGCTCTAAGGCTAATCTATAAATAACCATCCTCCCTTCTTCTGTTTCAAGGTGCTATCCACCCCTAGACTAGTTATAGTACGAATAGTAGTAGTAGTAGTATATTTATGATACATATAGTAGTAGTAGTATTGGGAGGAGCGACGCGTATGAGAGATAGAGAGAGAGAGAGAGAGAGAGACGAGTCTAGTTGTATACTAGATTAAAATTATTGCTAACTTGTATTTGATATTTTATATTATCTATAGCTAGTTAGTAACTTAATTACTGAGAATCGAGAACTTTTTTTTTGTTTTTTTTTTGTGGGTATAGTAGTAGTAATAAGTAGTATTTTAGGGGCTTGGAGATCTAGGATCTAGTTTGGGATTACATACCTGAAGAGCAACATGACGCCTTGAATAAATGATTGGAAGTTGTTGTGCCTAGTAATGGAATTTTCCACTGTACCTAGTTTGATATTTCCGAACACCTAGGCACGATTCAAATATCGGTAAAGAATTCAATGGATTATTGATTTATGGTTTTTTGTTGTTGTTGTTGTTTTGTTATATTGAAAGACTTAAATCATACGGCACATCACACACACTCGAGATTCCTCTTCCTTACAACAATCCTCAACGCTGGCTGGCATTTTTTCACAATATACTAGAGCCGCGACCCTATTGAACCCGACGCGGCCCCTTTTTCGACACGGCAAATCCATATGTTTGAGTGGGCCAGGGCGAGCAGGAATTTCATACACATAATCATCTGATTTGTTAGCTGTCAGAACAGTCTGAACAGGGGCAGAATGGGTAGAATGGATGGATTAAATGTGGTGAGGAGTTCTCTCGATTTACACACATGTCGATATATGCAGTGGCAGTGTAGGTGGATTGGTGTACGACTATTGCAATGCTTCAACTCAATGACATGTCAACATCCGAGCTAAAGCACTCTCAAAAAACTTGTTTCTTAACATTTAGGAACAGCTCTCGGTATCAAAAAATGGGAGGTTGGGGAAAAAAAAATAAAAGCAAGCGTAACGAAACAAAACGATAAAATGTATTCTCATCGGTTACCATTGATACAAAAAATATACAGAAAATATATAAAATATACTCTATGATATTTAGCCAATTTGAAAACTCATTCAGTTACAGGGGAGTGCTAATGCAGTGCGTTTCATCCTAATCAAATCAGCAACAAAAAGATAGTTCAATTTTTAGGAGCGGTAAAAAGGAATCATATCAATTTCAATATTCAAATATCTTGAAACGCACTATATAGAGAGTGTGGTAAGTAGTAAATAAGTACCCTTAATAGTTCTATGATAACCGACATATCCCAAAAAGGAACATCAAAATGAAAAAAGGCATCTATGTATGTACAGCGTTCAAAACAGAAAGGCTTATAATCTGATGTGATCTGATATGATCGGTGGTTGTGTGCAACCATTGAAACATTTAGTGAACCAAAACGAGGAATATACCACAAACAAATACACGATCCTAATGTTAAACAAATACATTTAATTACAATTTTTCAAATTCAACAACTGGCAACTGTCAAACGCATACATTGATTCCATTTATATATTTTTGTTTGTTTTCTTTGGTTTTTTTGGGATGCGATTATACATAAGATTCAACGAACGAACTATGGATACTTGATGATCGAAATATGTTTCCAAATTGCAAGGGGGCGAGGAGATCAATCAACAACGGTAGATGGATCTATCGTCGATGATGTAGAGTTGGCTTACAAGGCGTACTATAAGCCCCATAAGCTCACTCTTGTGTCAAAATTTTGTTAAAAACTGCGAATATAGCGAATCTACATTGTAATGTATTTTGTATATGCATGACTGTTTTTTAGTGCCATCTTTTTGGGTAATCGCTATGGAGTTTTACTATGGTTTAAACTAGGATTATGTTTCTCGTTTACCGAAAGAGCAGCATGATTCCACCGGAGAACGATTGGAAGTTATTGTGGCGATTCAGTTGCGTGTCCGGATCATACTTTATGTTGCCGAAAACCTTTTGGTTTGATGTATAAACATTATAATTTGTTTGAATAGTAGGCATTAAATTTCGACCAACATTTTTATGAATCTATCAAACTGATTTTTTTTTTTAATTCCATGTCAAGACATAGTCTATAATCTATTTTAACTATTTAATAAGTACGAGTTATATGATGATCACTAACCCACAGATTTAAGAGCTATAATTAAAAGTAACAAATGTAAAAAGAAAATTATGTTTCTGGCTCTACTGCTGCGAACATTTTACTGCTGCCCCATCTTAAATGAATTATAAGCTCCCACACCCAGCGGAAGTTAAGCGTTACCAAAAACGACCTAGCAGAAATCAGCAACCAACAGTTTTTATCCACTTATCATACGAGATATACATTAATTTTTTTTCTTTTTCTTTCCTCTTTTTTTTTTGGCGCGTTGGTTTTCGGGTTTTATGGTAGTGGAGGAACTTTTGAAAACTTACCTGCATGCCAATAATGGCGTATATAAAGAATAGCATGGCTATAAGCAAACAGACATATGGAAGAGCTTTAAATGATTGTACAAATGTCCACAGGAGAATTCGTATTGTGTATCCTTGACGGAGTAGTTTGATAAGACGCGCCGCACGAAACAAACGCAGGAAGCCGACGTTGATTGAGTTCGACTGTAAAATATTATTGGCCAAAAGGTTTTTTTGTTGTTTTGTTTTGGTAGAGCAGATTCGAAGAAACAAACAAAAAGAAGAGAGAAAACAGAACGGAAAAGGAGATTGGTATTAGAGTGGTTTGTCCTGTTATTTTATTTTTTATTTTTTTTTGGTATAGTTCGTGAATTCGTCCGAATCCCTTTTTGAAGGGGAACTCGTTCGAACTCCTCGAATGCGTGTGTTCGTATCATCATCATCATCATACTTGATGGATGATGCATTCTCGATATGCATTCCAATCTAAACTATCGGTTAGTAGTAGATCGTTCCGTTAGTACTAGGTAGTAGTTGGTAGCAGTGCAGTAGTAGTAGTAGTAGTAGTAGGTAGTTAGGCGCAGTTATTAGTTAGTATTAGGTAGAGTAGTTACATACATAGTACTTGGTGGTAGTTAAGGTAGGTTTTCGATTGAAAATCATTAAATATCATTAGCTAATAAAACTATTTTCCAACCAAATAATTGTCAAATTAATATCGTTCCAAATAAAATTGTACTCATTGATATAGTATATATGTATATGTATATGGGGCATATACAATACATAATAGTATTATGTATAGATGGAACAAAATGCTAAACAAAAATTTGGATTTCTTAAACACATTTTTTACCATTGAATGAAATGCAAATTTACAGAGTTTTTACTTGATTTTCGTTTTGGAATAAAAAAAAACTATTTTGTTATTTGGTGGAAGCGTTTCTGTTGTTTCTGTGTGTTTGTGTGATGTTTCTAGTTTTTTTTTCCTTGATTCAGATTAATTTTTGTGCGTCTTCCGAATTTTCAACTACACATAATTTATAACAACAATTTATTGAAATTAAAAAATTAGTACGTAATCGAATAAAGATATTCGCTTAGTAATAGGAACTGGTATATCAAATTTGCTAAAATGTTTCTTTGGAAAAGCGCACTGAAGGCGTGTGTGGTGGTTTTTTTTTTGTTGGTTCTTACTAAGCAAAACTAATCGTGTGACTTATTTTTTATTGGTTCTAATTTGGTGTATTTGTTGGGTGGTTTTTGTAAGCGAAAGAAAACGTTTAATCAATGTATAACAGTATGCCAGTAGAACAGTTGTATGGTTAAATTTGCTATGTACAGTTTTGCATCATGGTGCAAGTGGCAAGTCGTGGGAACAAGAGAGCAGAGAGTATCGTCAGAGTTGGTGTTTTGGGTGGAGGGAGTGGGGAGTGGGGCTCTGTTAACCGTATTTGTAATCGTCACCGATTTGGCCAAAATATTTTACCCATCAGCTGTTGCAACAGTATAAACACTTTTCATACATGAGGGCGCATACATACAATTTGTTTGTTCAAATTTTGCATGCACCCACACGTACGGGTGTTGTGCTCTGAATGATGTGCCTCTGGCAACTGCTGACTTGAAGACGTTTACCGCCTCGCCGCGGGCTTCGTTTAATTGCTTCATTTATACACTGTGCAAAATCGTATATACATATGTATATCGTTGGAGTTAACAACTATTGAATATTTTATAGTAGTATAGTAGTATGTAGCACTTAAAGTTATGTTTTTGTGTATGGACTACAGAGACTAGAGCAGATAGTAGATGGTAGCAGATGGTTTTGGTTGGTTACATATTATGGTACAATATTACATATATGTATGTATGTATTTTGTTAGAGGTGAAGCAACGGATATCAAAAAACATTTGTTCGAGAGGTGTGAGACAAAATTTGCTGTGTGTGGCCCAGTGCTTTTTTTGTGGACTGTAACTGAAAAGAAAACATACACAGTACTCGCAGCAGTACACTGAAACACACATTGAATCGAACCGAATCGTATTACTCCTCACATGGTGTACAGAGTAGCTGTACAGATTCTTGTCGATCATCGGAAAATACAATATGTACACAGGAAATGAAGTTACGAGCTAGAGAGTCTGAGTGTGGCGGCTATCTCTATTCGGGGCGTAGCTCTACACGTATGCATATACTTGTATATTATGTATGGTGGATTCTATGGGTTATGCAGGGAATATGTGTGTGGAAGGATGGGAATAATGGAGCATGATCCCACGCTGTAGTCGCTATATTTTTGTTTCATAGAGTAGATCTCGAAGGGGAGTTTTGGGTGGGTCGCTGGTTGACAATTCTAAAGCCCAACAATATATATGAGAAGATATACACATGATGTTATCGGGGATACAGTCCCAGATCAGATCAGATCTAGGAGATCTAACTACCAGTACTCAAGAGAAAGTGGGGGACTAGCGAGAGAGAGAGAGAGAGAGAGAGAGAGAGAGAGCGAGCGAGAGCGAGATATCAAAGGAGAAAACTGTTTCTACAGATGATGTACGTACACAAAACGAGATCAATCGATGTGATCTGAATACGGATTTGAATATAGTAGGAGAAACATTTTAAAGGATATTTTTTTTGTTATGTTGTATGGTAGGTAAGTAGTAAAACGTTTAGCTAAAAAGGCTAATTAGTCAAAAAATTTGGTTTTTGTAAGTTTAGTTTTTGTATTTGTAGAGCGTGTGGTTGTTGTAATTGTAGTTCTTTTTGTTGTTGGCTGTAGTAGTTGTTGTTTTGTTGTTGTTGTTTTTTGAAAGTAGAAAACTTGTTAGGATAGATTTTGTTTACTTACATCCTGTTGGATAGTCAGAAACCATTTTCAATTGAAATTTGAATTTGTGGATTTGTTTTTGAGACAAATCAATGATTTTGATTTGATTTTTAATATTGTTTTTCATTGATTACATTGATTGATGATTGACACACACAATTGTTTTTGTTTTTGTTTTTTCAATTGTTGGTATTAGTTAAAGTTGTTGTTGTTGGTAGTTGTAGTAGTTGGTGGTAGTGATTGGTGTTTTTTTTTTCAGCAGTTTTCAGATTCATATTCAGATTCAGATTCAGTTCAAAATCGTCACAATTTACGAGACGGAATATAACAAACATATAATGAAATGTAGTTTTTGATTGATGATTGTATTCATTTGATTAGTTTTTTCGATTTGATTTAGATGTTCATTTATTGATTGAGATTTTCAAATATATCATATCATATCATATCATATGCATAGCATGTACAGACGATGCATGTTTTAACAATCGATCACAGGTCGGTTTCGGTTTCGTTATCGGTATCGGTATCGGTTTTTAGTCAAACGATAGATAATTCGATAGAGTTCGTAGGGCGGCGATATCGTTGTTGATTTTTTGTGGTTGGTTATTCATATGTTTCGTATTATTTCGTATTCAGAGATTCAGAGAGAGAGAGAGATATTTTGTTTTAGAAAAAAATAAATAGAAATAGGTAAAGTAGAGTTGAAGATTAGTAGTATTGCAATTGCAACTGCACGAGACTGCAGCAGCTCTATCAAAGGGTGGTATACAAAGATAGTAGTAGATCAAGATCACAAATATCAGTAAGCAGAGTTTTTCAGTTACATTTTGGTTCTCTATATGTTGTTGGAATGTGTTTAGTGTACTATGTGGATGTATGTGTTGTTGTAGTATCTATGTATGCATCTGTAATTGTATCTAATGGCTGTTATGCTTTTTAGGAGATCTTCGATGTGTTTACAACAGGGTTCTGGCTCTAATCGGGTTATTGTTGGTTTCTATGCAATTATTCGCGCAGTTCAACTTTGGCTCTTGGCTATAAATGTGGAATACTATGCAGGTTGTACATTGGTTGGCTGGACTATACAAATAGTAGTAGTATTATTGGGAAATGTATTTTTACAAAACTCAAAAATTTTTCAACTCAAAACATAACTCTGATAATAAAGCATTGTTTGACGAAATAAAAGACGAAGTAAAGATCGAAGATTACCGAACGATTGACCGCGATACACAGGATCCAATTCGAGAGTCGAGAGATTGTTACGGAGAGAATCTTACCTATACGACACACCACCAATGGGAAAGAAACAACCAGTTTTCGGAGGGATCTGTAGATCGATGCTCCACTGATACTCTTAATGGTATTTTGGGGTATTGATTGGTTATGGATATAGATTGCACAGCACTTGCAGCATTTTTTGTTTAATTGTTCTCAAGCAACAAAACAGTTCTCACAGTACAAAACGGTTCAAAACATTTGGTGAGTGTGTTTGTGCATGTACAAAGCCGAACTGAACTGAATCAAAATTATATATTTATATCCAAGTGCATTCAACGCACATACTCGCATTTAAAGTGAGTGTGTGTAGGTATTCAGATGTATGTAAGTAGTTTTTGTGATTGTGTGTGTTCGGTTGTGTGTCAATGTGTGGTTGGGAGTGTGTGTGACATGCAGCAGCTGTAGCTGAGAAACGAAAGCCAATCCAAGCCCAGATCATTAGCTGGGGCACACTACTTAGTTGCGTACAATAATGGGTGGTAGTTGAGTGAAAGATGGTGTGAGCATCGCAAAAAACTGAGTGTCAGGGGGCAGGGGGTGGTTGGGTGGTTGGGTGAAGGGTGTAGTGGTTGTTAACAAAGCTCAAAAGTCATCCAGGTGACCTAGGATAGAGAGAAACTATCGTACTAAAGCAGAGACTGCCAAAAAAAACATGAGACAACCCAGACAAAGAGAGAGAGAGAAAAGTTAGCGGGAGAGCGGATCGGAGTGGGTTGGGGTTCTTTTTTGTTGTGGGTTCTCGAAAGAAAGACCAGACAATATTTTGAAGTCATGCTTTTGAAGATTTTTTTGTTTTTGTATACTTTGTTTAAAGCTCAACAGATATCGTTAGAGTTATGTTTATATAGAAAGTCATCCAGCATCTGGATCCAACGAGTTTTGTATGTACCTCTCACTTCACTGATGACGTTGGGCAGTTGGGCAGAGATCGTATGCCGGGAAGGACTACTTACATTCGACAGCTCTTGGGGCAGCACTTTGAATACCTCTCATCCGATGTACAATTCGATTCGTTTTGATTCGTTTCGATAATGATGCCATGATGCTTTCACCTTGCTTTCTCGTTATCGATTGATCATAGTTATTCGTGTGTGTACACATTGTGACAGTATTCAGATATATTTGGGGTCTTGTCTTTCGTGAATATATATTGATTGCTCTTTGGTGTACTCGTAAGTAAGTATTTATTTGGTGTACGCGTATTCATATATTTATGGTGTCTGTGTCTGCATGGATGCCAATGTCTGTTCTGTATATCAACCGCAGTGAATGATGATGAATCGGAAAATAATGTCAGGGGATAGGCATGTGTGTGTGTGTGTGTGTGTGTGTGTTGGTGGGATGTTCGATTGGGTTACCATCAAACAGTCAAATTTGCGAGACCGATCAAACCAAAGCAATCCATGCGCAAAGTAAAACCAAGAGAAACAATTAACTGGAAAACAACTCGCATTGCAGTTGCAGGGGCTCCGAAAGAGCGATGATTCCACGGATGCATGAATCGATCATCTTAAAATGATTCAAGATATCTGCACGTCATGAAACGTGGCATCAATATAGCGACAAACGAAAGGGATTATGAGTAAAAACCATACTCATTTAGGACACGAAAAGCACTTGATCTTTTTAATATCAAAATTCGATAATCTTTTAAAGATTAGACAGACACAAAAATATATATGTATTTATAACTTGATGAGAGTTTAGGTATATGATCGTTATACACAGAGAGCCACTGATGATATTGTGGCGCAACCGATATCACAACGAATGCTACTTTATAAAGAACTTTCTTTATTTTTAATCGTTATATATTGCCACCCTCTCGCTGCAAGTTCTAACATTTCTTGACTACAAAAGCTTATATGCACGCAACTTTAATACAAGAGACAGAGACAGACAGATATAGGCAGTGAGAGATAGTCACAGATACAGATAGATATATATAGAAAGAGATTTAGAGACACAGTAATTAATTACAAATCGCAATGTTGTGTGCTAGGCAACAGAAAACTGAATAATACTGAATACGAAATATACATGAAAATACATGGAAATGGAAATCGAAATCGAAATTAAAACTTAGAAAATGAGTTCAACTAAGACAGAAACATAATAAGTATTTGGTATGTGAAAACAAATGACTAATCATGTGATTTATTTTGATCTTTCGTAAAGAAAATCAAGCTAAATGATTTTGTAAAGAGGATTCGGAATTAATAAGCTTATTTAGTGGTAGGCAATTAATTAGCTTTAAGTTTTAAGCGGAAGTCTAAGGTTTCATTGAATTGGTACACATCGAAAAATGTTTGGAATTGGAATTCTTTGGATAAATGCAAAATCAGTGTAGATCGTGTTTCGTACTTACATCGTGCTGCTTGGTTGTGTCGGTTGTTGTACATGTAGTAGAAGTCGATGTATATAGTTGTTGAGATGATTGATTGATTTGGAGGGGATATATATATACACATACATGTGGGATACAAGATTTGTTTTGATTTTTTGTTTGTCGTGGAAATACATGTATGTATGTATGTATATTTTTTTTTGGATGCGTATGCGTATGCATGTGTACATGTGTGTGTTTGCAGGACATACACATGCATAGGATTTGATTTTGTTCGATTGTTGAATGGACAGGTTGTTGGAATGGTTTTGCGTTTTAGAATTTGTTTCATTTGTTGATTAATTGATCGATAAATCGATGAATCGATTGGTGGGTTTGGTTGGTTATTGTTTTGAATTGAGATTTCGGTATTTGTTTTGATTTGATTTCGATTTCATTGATATTGGTTAATTCGATTTAACATTTTGGTATGGTAAAAGTATTTTTGTTTTTCGATTGATTCAGTGAATTTATATATATATATATATTGTTTTTGGGATACAACAATTGTGGTTTTTGGTGATTCGGTGGCAGTGGTTGTGGAGTTGTGGTTTAGGTGGTGGTGGTTGTGGTTTTTGGTGGCGGTGGTGGAGCAAGAGAAATATACGTATATATGGAGCGAGTTGTATCATTGCACATTCATTGCATTTTTGGGTATTTTTTTGGTATTGGTATTCGAGAATTACACAGATGTTATATGTATATCATTGTAGAGATTGTATTTGTTGTTGAATTGTTTGTGTTTGTTTGTTGTTAGAGTTAGAGTTGATTTTGTTGGAGAGTGTTGTGGCATCGATTCCCGATCGATGATGTTCGGGGGCCAATTGTTGGGATATATATAGGATGTAGCGTTGCATATATACATATATATAAATATGTAGATTTGCAGACATATTAAACATTTTTTTAGATGTGTGCGTGGATTGTTTTTGTAGTTGTTTTGTTTTTGTCGTGTAGGTATATATATATATCATTGCGTGAGTGTTTGTTATATATTTTATGTATTTTATATATATTTTTTTTTGCATTCATCGATATTTTTTTGGGTTGATTTCGGATTGGGTTTTCCCGATTTTGATACCACATTTTGGTTTTTTTTTTTGTTTTTTCGTACACAAATAAATATGGAAAAGGAAATTAAAAAAGAAATATGATTATTAATTTCTGTATTTCGTGGGACTTTGTATGTTTTTGCATTTTGAGTTTTTTTTTTTTTTGTTCTGTATGTGTGTATATAAGAAATTTATATATATGCTATCGGAAATCAAGATAAATATATATAGATAGACATGTTTGTATGTATGTATGTCAAAAATAATATGAAGAATAAAAAAATGTTTGAATATCGGGTGTAGCTGTATTTTTTTTCGACTTGCGATCTGTGCAAAAGTGCCAAATCCTCAATACCTAAATTCCTAAAGCCCTGTATCTTGCAATCTTTTATCGATGTACACTTTAATGTACAGTTTATAGCTACGCTATACAAACTATCATTTTATTAAAACCTAAAATACTGTAACTTCTGTAACTATCACTCAGTAGAAGAAAATCGTACTAAAAAAAAAGATTCAATATATCTGCTAACTTAAACACGAACTATCAAAAGCTTAGCATCATTCAACTTTAATCCATTATATATCGATTTAAAACTCTATATCTATCTCTTGTTGAAAAATAATACACTTTACTTTAGAAGGAACTCCATTGAAGTTCCGTATCCCTATTCCATACATGAATTGACTATAAGTCGGACAAATCCCTCCTCACAAATTTGCAGTAAAAAACCTTAATCCTCTATCCTCATCTAGAAAAATTGCATTTATGATAACATATAGAACGAACATATATATATATTGTACTTAAATGTGAGGCGTTTAGAGAGATACGCCATCAGGTCTGTTGTGTGTGGATAGTTATATAGTAAATACTTATAATATATTTTCTGGGTTCTTGGTGTTCTCTGGGTTTCTTTTTGCTGTGTGAATGTTTTGTGGATGTGTGTTCTATGTGTGTGTGTTTGTGTTTTTGTATCTTGGCAAAATAATGAAGCTAGATACATTTGTTATTTAGTTATGAATTACATTGTTTTCTTGTCTTGCATAAAAACGGCCTACAGAAATCGAACACAACAATAATATGTATGCTCTGAGTCGGTTTTTGTGGCAAGCAACTGATAATTACCCCAAATTCCATCCACAAAGCATCCACAATGCTGCCCAGCACGGTAATCAGATCGAAGATGTTCCACGGATCCTTGAAAAAGTTCTACAAAAAGCGATACAAATAAAATATTATTCACCTCTCTATATTCAGCATCCATGTATGTTGGATCAATTTTTAAAACTTACCTTGACACCGAATCCAATGATCTTGAGCACAGTTTCAACGCTAAACATGCCAGTGAATCCCATGTTGATGTACTTGAGTGACTTTTCATACATTTCACCCTGATTATGATACTGTTGAGATTTACAATTTTCAATTTAGTTTATGTTTATTTAACAAATATATAGAGTTCAGCGTCGACATCAATCCGTTTTTGGGGTAAAGAAAGCTTGCATTTAGCAGTAGTTGGATTAAGCATTCTTCCTCCCGCAAAGAGGGAGCACAATATATTCTCCATAAATATTATTATATGAAAGGAAAACTCAGGAAGTATTATTCCATTCGCAAATTAAATTATTTACATAGTGGAAAGATATTAAAGATCAGTTGAAATCCCTTCGTAAACAAAAATAATAGGATACATGGAAAAAGATATTCAGAGCAGAGCGTTGGGAGAGCGGTTCGGATGATGTAGAGACCCCGCTGTAGGTTGCAAACTAAATGTATTAAAATCGCTTAAATTACCTTCATCATCAGCAGGAGCGTATTGAACACGATCAGCATCATTATAAAGTACTCAAATGGCGTTGAGACAACTATGCGCCACACTTTGTACTTGAATGTGTTCCGATTTTTGGGCATATAACGCTCGAGTGGTCGTGCCCCGATTGTAAAATCAATGCAGGATTTCTGGAGTGAAGAGAAGAGCGATTATGTAGAAATATTTTGATGTCCTTTGTAACGAACATATGTGGCATTTCGTAGGCGGGACGAAGTTATTCATTCACAACACTTAATACAATTTTTGTCAAAATACGAGTACAACTAAAGGTGTTTTCAACATCAATTACGATACAAACATTTCATTCACATAATACACATTAATACAATTTTGGTAATGCTAATTGGGCGTCTAATTGTATATATGTACATATGTTTATACACATAAATGGGGGACAGGGTAGGGCTACTACATGTTGTTTGGACTGCAGTCTATATATTCCGATGCTTAATGAAAGCAAACATAAAAAGGGGGATTGATTTTTGTCAATTTACGTATATGTACAGAGGGTAAGTAAAAGCGCTTGTCTACCACAATGGTCTCAACACATAATTTTGTTTGGATGGAGTTTGTTTATCTTCTCTATATAATAGGATGTGTCTTAGACTTGTACTTGGGATTTGGATTTACTGATTTACTGATCTAAATATTTGCTCATACAACAAGAGACTTCTTTCTTTCCAGCCTAAGCCCAAAATGAAGAAATTCAACAGGTATTTTCGTTTCATTTCCCATATCTAAAACAAAGAATTAATGTATACATATGTGGTCTTACAGTGAATACAGAAACAGTTAGTATTTCTATATTTGCGAAGAGTTGTTCTCTGCAGCATTTGGATGTATACTTACAATCTTACAGTCCCTGTTTCGTGGGAGGTTGTTGGTTGGTTGTTTGGGGTTATGGCGTATTTTTGATTGGCAAACTCTTTCGACTGGCGACTACTGAACGATATCGATCGTTAAATATTCTCGTACAAATTCGGAATATTTAATGACCATCGTGAGTACAATAAGATATCTCTACTTTCCGGTAAATGTTCACTATTTATATATCAAAAAAAGGGAAATGGCTAATGCTAAGATGTAGCACAATTGCAGGATCCTATGTATATTCTATGGCATGAGTCTTTAGTTTTTATTTTTGGTTTTATTTTGGTGAGTACTAAACTAAGTAGTTTAGGAGTAGGGATCTGCTCACTCTAGAATGGATGGCACATTGACTATACAGAAATATATATAGATGGAGCGTTACTATAGAGTTTAGAGAGTGTGCTTTTGTGTGGATGGTATGGCTGGTATGGCTGGGGGACGACACGCAGTGAGCACCCACTAAAAAACGAAAGGCGAAAAGGCAAGGCAAGGCACACACATTTCTTTGTAGCTATCTCTAGGGTATACATTTATACATATAATTGCAATGCACGAGCATCGGGTTTCTGGTATCTGGTATCTGTGTGTGTCTGGTACAGTGTGTACATGTTAAATGAGCCCCGGAGCAGAGCACAATGTGTATATGTTTTATTTTTTGGGTAGCAAGTATTTACGAGTTAGTGACATGTACGTGCATATTAATCAATTTAGTTAATGTATTAATTTTTTTATTATCTTTGGTTTGGTTAGATTTTTGTTTTTTTTTTTAATGTTTACAACTAGCGGTACATTACACGAAACACATATATAAGCAGATTTATTGACAGAGAGATAGAGAGACAGATAGACAGATAGAGTTTGAGGTGGTGGCAGGGGAGGTCTCGCATGGTAAGGATTTTCGGATTTGGTTTGGGTCTGGCTCACCTGGTTCTTGTCAATTTCACCATCTTGTAACTCAGCTTCGCCTTGCTCTTGAAATGTGATAATAATCAAGGCCACGAATATGTTGACGAAGAAGAATGGAAATACAATAAAATAGACAATATAAAATATGGACATTTCGATCCGGAAATTTTGGATTGGACCCCTATCTTCATAAGTGGCAGCCATTGAGTGTTGCAAGACCCTATAGTCGTAGTTGAATTCGATGGAACGATGGACGTATGGGTTGTATATGGATGGATGAAGAGAAACGAATACAAGATATCATTCAGTTATTATTCGGTATTCATTATGCAAATATTCAATTAAGAGATAGATAGTGATAAAGACAGGTCAAGAGATAGATATACGTAGATAGCAAATAAAGTGGTTTACAACAACAATTAGGGGGTGGGGGCTTACTGTGGCCATCCCTCGCCGGTCTGGACAGCGAATAGTGTCAGCATCGCGGCCGCAACGTTGTCGTAGTGGAAGGCCCGTGGCTTCCAGACCCTCAGCTCCTGTCTAGGCAGCAATTCATCCTCCTCGTACTTAAAGTACGAACCCCTTCAGATTGCGTTTTTACATGGTTTTTGGTTTAGGGTTTTCATGTATTTAATTTATGATGTTTTTTTGGGCGTTGTTGTGGTTGTTGTTTGGTTGGTCGTGATTTAAGCCATTTGGCAATGGCAATTATTGGTAGTGGTTTTAATTAGTAATTTTCATTTCAGGCTCAGTGGAGAGAACGTTACAAAATTATACAATATTTAGGCACAACAGAACTCACTATGGTGGGTAACAGAAAAACGCAATGGATCGGAAACTAAAATATTGCAAAATATATCTACAACTGAACGGTTAAAAAAATCGAATCTTAATGACTTCATTTCAGGTTTCCTTTATGTTTTTGTTTAGCTTTTTTCGACGATGGGTGGAGAAGTATGAAAAAAATGCAGAAATCGAAATCTAATTGAAGAGAATTTACAGTTTTAAGATATAGATCTATTGAGACTCGAAATAGATTCGACCAAAGCACATTTGTATTGCAAGTTCTGCATGATGTCTGTTTGATCATGTGTGTCGGGCGGTGTTGTTGTTATTGATGAGAGGAGTATGAGTATAAAGCGGTTCGTTACTGGTTGTCCTACTGCATATTGACATTGTACGAGTATGAAAATTTGAAACTAACTAATAGTCAAATCAACACTCGTAACAGTCTGAAGAGAAAGGCGTACAAATAAAGAAATGCTCGAAAATCAACGAAATATGTATACTTTGTCCCTCAAACACCCAAAAAAAATAAACGAAAGAGCGAGTGAGCGAGCGAGTCCTTTTCTCTCGTTATTTTATCGTTGTCTCGCAGTCATCGGCTTCGTGCGTGGTTCGGCCAGTTGTTTGTTCGGTGATGTGTAACAAAAAGCAGCGCTCTCAAGCGAATATTTTCACTCTACTCTACTCTACCGAATAGCGTGTGTAGCGAGGGGGTAGCGAGTAGCGAGTGGCGATTTGTGTCTTCTCAGATGTCGTTGTTGTTGTTCTTGTTATTTTTTGGGCTTGAATGGTTTTTCAATGCATGTACGAGTATGCTTAGGTACGAAGTATGTACGTGTACATATGTAACTTGTTTTTGGTTTTAATTTTTGTTTTTTTTTTTTGTGTAAACTTGATTTTGATTTGTTTTGATTGATCAATTGGATAGGTTGGCTGGGGCCCCCAGTTATTGCATACGAAGCCAAACAGATAAAACAAACCGATACTCTCATTATTTCATTGGTGGCATAAGTATCTGCTTTTGTTTTTCACTTCTCAACTGCGACGGGGCGGCGAGTGTAAGGTCGTTACACTCGACTCGACCCACGTCTCGCGAGTGCACGTTGTGTGAGTAGTTTGGCGGAGTGACGACAGTTTCAATTCAATTTGTGGGATAATTTGTGGTAATAATATATAATACATAATGAAACTCTAATGCACACACATAAATATGGGGAAAGAGCTCGTCATCTAGTTGGTTTGGTGTCTATGGTGTCTACGAGAATGGTGTTTGCGATTCCTACAATTACGGCAGATCAGATCTATTCATACACTAGTCTTTAAACAAGTTTATAGGCAATCCAAATCAAAGGCAGTATCGCTTCTTTTCTATACAGAAACTCACACATATTTCGACCTCGATAAGTACAAATTTTGGTTTAGGGATGAGACAATGCTTTAGAACGGGGGGGGGGGGGGGGGGGGCNTACGAGCATGACGTGTTGATTAGACAAGTCAGGCAAGAAAAACTGGGCAAGAAACTTTAAAATGCTACTCTTACATTCTGTTAAATCAGTGCACCTTTTTTGTTTACTCGATAACGAAAGATGATAAACGTAACGAAAGGAAACAAACATAATATTTGTTAAGACATGTTAAAAGTTGAACAAAACGATCATACAACACACATACAAAAGAGGGCCAGGGCGGGACGGGACGGGGGAAAACTAATGTCTTGAAATGCTTCCCAATCGAACCACACTATATACAGATATAGATTTATATACAAGGAACGGGATCCCATTTCTCTTCTGGTCACTTTTTGGTAGTATTACTGATTCCAGTATACGAAATCCCCATAATCGGATCAAGGGTAACAGATCCACAGACTATATTCTCTCTCTGGATGCTTTAAACTTACGAAACATTTATATGTACATACATATGTACGAGTGGATAGGAACACAGATCAGACATAGGCGTGTATGTTTGTACAGACATACATACATACATACATATATGTATATATATTTAAATGTCGGATATATGGTTTTTTTTTTTAGTTTTTTTTTTCGGTTTTTGGCCCGTTTACGAGCATGACGTGTTGATTAGACAAGTCAGGCAAGAAAAACTGGGCAAGAAACTTTAAAATGCTACTCTTACATTCTGTTAAATCAGTGCACCTTTTTTGTTTACTCGATAACGAAAGATGATAAACGTAACGAAAGGAAACAAACATAATATTTGTTAAGACATGTTAAAAGTTGAACAAAACGATCATACAACACACATACAAAAGAGGGCCAGGGCGGGACGGGACGGGGGAAAACTAATGTCTTGAAATGCTTCCCAATCGAACCACACTATATACAGATATAGATTTATATACAAGGAACGGGATCCCATTTCTCTTCTGGTCACTTTTTGGTAGTATTACTGATTCCAGTATACGAAATCCCCATAATCGGATCAAGGGTAACAGATCCACAGACTATATTCTCTCTCTGGATGCTTTAAACTTACGAAACATTTATATGTACATACATATGTACGAGTGGATAGGAACACAGATCAGACATAGGCGTGTATGTTTGTACAGACATACATACATACATACATATATGTATATATATTTAAATGTCGGATATATGGTTTTTTTTTTTAGTTTTTTTTTTCGGTTTTTGGCCCGTTTACGAGCATGACGTGTTGATTAGACAAGTCAGGCAAGAAAAACTGGGCAAGAAACTTTAAAATGCTACTCTTACATTCTGTTAAATCAGTGCACCTTTTTTGTTTACTCGATAACGAAAGATGATAAACGTAACGAAAGGAAACAAACATAATATTTGTTAAGACATGTTAAAAGTTGAACAAAACGATCATACAACACACATACAAAAGAGGGCCAGGGCGGGACGGGACGGGGGAAAACTAATGTCTTGAAATGCTTCCCAATCGAACCACACTATATACAGATATAGATTTATATACAAGGAACGGGATCCCATTTCTCTTCTGGTCACTTTTTGGTAGTATTACTGATTCCAGTATACGAAATCCCCATAATCGGATCAAGGGTAACAGATCCACAGACTATATTCTCTCTCTGGATGCTTTAAACTTACGAAACATTTATATGTACATACATATGTACGAGTGGATAGGAACACAGATCAGACATAGGCGTGTATGTTTGTACAGACATACATACATACATACATATATGTATATATATTTAAATGTCGGATATATGGTTTTTTTTTTTAGTTTTTTTTTTCGGTTTTTGGCCCGTTTACGAGCATGACGTGTTGATTAGACAAGTCAGGCAAGAAAAACTGGGCAAGAAACTTTAAAATGCTACTCTTACATTCTGTTAAATCAGTGCACCTTTTTTGTTTACTCGATAACGAAAGATGATAAACGTAACGAAAGGAAACAAACATAATATTTGTTAAGACATGTTAAAAGTTGAACAAAACGATCATACAACACACATACAAAAGAGGGCCAGGGCGGGACGGGACGGGGGAAAACTAATGTCTTGAAATGCTTCCCAATCGAACCACACTATATACAGATATAGATTTATATACAAGGAACGGGATCCCATTTCTCTTCTGGTCACTTTTTGGTAGTATTACTGATTCCAGTATACGAAATCCCCATAATCGGATCAAGGGTAACAGATCCACAGACTATATTCTCTCTCTGGATGCTTTAAACTTACGAAACATTTATATGTACATACATATGTACGAGTGGATAGGAACACAGATCAGACATAGGCGTGTATGTTTGTACAGACATACATACATACATACATATATGTATATATATTTAAATGTCGGATATATATATTGAGATATACATATAGCTAAAAACCAATACTATACAGCTAGACATCAATGTGTGGGGTAGAGGATTATAAGATGGCGGAGGCATGTCCCCTAATGATTCTATTGTATTTGTTGTTTGTAGATATGTATGTACAATGTAAGTTTTTGTAGCCTAATATTAGACCTCTCCGTACGAGTGAGTGGAATGACTTTGTTGTTGTTCTTTCTAGCTCTAGCAGCTACGCAATGTTCGTTCGAGTTGTGTGTCTAAGTATTCAGAGTTCTATTTTGTATGGATACAGAGTACTGACTACTTGGTTACTTGGATCTTCGACAGAGAAACATACAACAGAAAGACAGAGAGTTAGCAACAGAGTAACAGACAGATAGATATATAGCGAGAGGAGAGAGAGTTACAGTCGTAGAGATCGTGTGTTTGTGTGTTGGAGAGTGGGAGAGCTAGACAGCTATAGCGCCATTATATGGAGGATATTTAAATGATCAAACCTAAAACATTGAGATAAGTACTACAGAAGGATCGAACAAACGTATCATTATGGTCAAGAGTCCTATGGCACACAAAATGATCCAAAAACGATACGAAACACACATATACATACATTTAATCAAGAATCAAATAATGAGGCTTGCGTAATATATTATTAAATGTAATTTAAAACAAAAAATAGGGTACGGAATGAGGAAGATAATAAGAAAGTAAAACTGAAACAGAAGAGTCAAAAAATATAGCGAACAAACCAAACGGAACAAATTTGAAACTTGAGTAAAAATTTTACTTACTGGCACTCTGCGGAAGTATGTTTACTTTCGTCCGTACAATAAAAAAATTTTCCATTGAACAATTGTACTCCAATAACAGAAAATATAAATTGAAACAATATGTACACGATTAGAATGTTAACAACATTTTTCAATGAGTTCACGACGCAATCGAAGACGGCTTTCAATTTTGGTACACGCTTAATGGTCTTCAATGGCCGGAGTACACGCAATACACGTAGCGATTTAATAGTCGATAAATTTTGTCCAGCGCTGCTACCGCTCATATCGAAACCGAAACTAACAGCAGCGCATATAACGACCACAGCATCCATAATATTCCAGAATTCTCTTAAATAGCTGCCAGGGTGCAGTATCACACCCAAGTCTACAATTTTCAGCAACATTTCTATCGTGAATACGCCGGTAAATGCATAATCAAAGTAATTCAATATCTTGTTTCGCCTCGAGTTCTCACGAACGGGATCTTCGGCTGCTAATGCTATTGATGACATTGAGATGACGACCATAATGAAGAAATCAAAATATGGCAAATTAACAACCCAATGGGCGCCGCGTCGTATGCTGTATATAAAAGTCGTTCGTTTATCGTTTATCGAATATATATCAGACATCGAATGTGGGTTGTTTTTTATGGGTGGTATCGGTAATCGGTAATCATATTTAGATGAAGTTTTTTATATGTAATCGTCATGATCATATTTTTTTGTTTTTCATTTGGAATGGCATCAAATTCGGTTTAGAGTTTGGTTTTGATTTTTGTAAAAATTTATCATATATTTGTGATGTTTTTTTTGTTCATTTTCCGATTGCGATTTTTTTATTTCGTCACCCGTTTATTTGGTTTTCATATTTTTTGGTTGATAGATTTTGCATATTTTTGTGGTCGTTTCAAATGGATTTTTTTTAATTTGAGTATTTGTTTTTGTGGTTGATTTAATTTTGAAATTCGTTCGTCGTTGTTCGTTGTGGTTGAATTTGTTGGAGATGTTGTTGTTGTTGTTGAAGGTGTTTGTAGTTGAGTAGATAGATGATGAGTAGATAGATGATGATTGCCGTTTATAGTGGCGGTGTTTGTTTTTATGGTGATTTTTGTGATTTTTTTGATGGTGATTGGTGATTGTATTCAGATATTATTGAATATATTTCAAAATATAATGTCGATTCATACAATCAATCGATTGATTGTTTATTATTTTTGGTTTTTGTTGGTTGTGTGCAACAAAAAAATGTAACGAATCCAAAAAGGTAAAAGGTAAAAAGAAAAAAAATATTGAAAATAGTTAGTTATTTTGTTATACTCAGTTTGCTGTCGTTGATTATATCATAATTAGATTAGAATAATGTCATTGATAGGGCTATTTGATGTAACGATTAAATATATATGCAGTAAAATATATATAGAGCAACAATTAACGATATCTAAGCAATGCCCGGTATAATACCTGGAAAAAAAGCCTTGGATCGGCACCAAAGACTAAGTGAAAATGGAATCTACGAGGCGAGTTTTTTTATCTTAAATTATTCGCGGTAAGTCAGGCATCTGTCTTTCCCCCAGTTTTAGGTTGGCCGACTTGGTATCGACCGGACGATGCGTTCTTATGAGATATACATATATGAGTAGTTCCTGGAAGAGATCTGGATTATCTTACGTCTACAAGTAGAATGAGAAAACCCCCAGCACGAAGCTCTCACAGAAAAACGGAAAGAGAGCCTTATGACGGATAGATTGGAAGAATGATTGAGTGGATGGAAGAATATTTACGGATTTGTTGGTGAGAGTATAAACATCGATGAGTATGGCAACATTGGCTTCGGTCCCTCCGTCACTTCCTCCTCCTCCTTTTTCTCCTCCTCCTTCTTTTTGCTCTTTCCTTTCGTTACGGCCACTGTGCCATCGCCGTTCTCTACGTGGACACCATCGCCCTGAAGGGCCTCCATTTCCTTTTCAAGTTCTTGCAGTTGTTTCTCTTTATCCTCTTCGACTTGTTCCTCTTCGGCTGCTGTTAACTCTTGTGCATTCGCCAAATTATCAACGGCGATAGCCAAGAAAACATTTAAGAGCGTGTAATTACCGAAGAGTACCAAAACGATAAAGTATCTGTTTTAGGGGATAATATCAAGAACACAATGACAATTAACATAAGATTATACCAAAGTGTTTCTTAATTTAAGTTCTATGAGAGGTGTATGTATATATGTATGTAAGAGCAGGCAATCAATCAAGTATTCCAACCAAGATCTTGGAGTTGGTAGTAGGGGGAGTGGAAGGAACTAGGAGTACTACGGTTACTACTACAGTGTCACACAGAGTCAGGGCCAACACAAGTCGTGGAAAAGCTGCAAATAGACATGGCAATGGAGAAGGTGAGGCATTAGCATACGTTCAAACTTTCAAATATCAATCATGTCTACACTTACGAATTTGGTGACCGCTGTTATAGGGGGTGGCGCAGGTTGGCTCTTGCTGATGAAACGTGGAACTTGTGGGACTTGGGCTTGCAGAATTTCAATTAAATTCTTCAAGCTCCAAAGTCTCTCTGGTTTTTTTTTTGTGCTCGATTGCACAGATTAATGGTTCGACGTTCAATGACTAGGACTCCTCTTTAGATTTTAGGAAGTTACAGGACACATAAATACGAATACGAAATACTAAGCTAACGTACAAGTACGATCGATATACATTTAAATGAGTGAGGAATATTTTCTAGAATTAGCTAGGAGATCCCGGACGGGATATGGGAGTTGGGGATTTTCTGATTTTAGTTAGCTCGGTACATATTGAATTCCAAAATATTGAATGCAAATAGCGTACAATGCATATGATCAATAGAGATAGAGAGACAGTGAGAGAGTGAACAAGATTAAACCGAAAAAACTTACATAGAGTAAATCATTCCTTTCTGTGCACCACCTTGCGATATGATGCCCTGGTACATGACTTCGTTCCAATCCTCGCCAGTGAGAATTTGGAATACGGTCAACAGGGCTATCGGGAATGTATTAAAATTGGTCTCGGGCGTGCCTCCGGGCAGATTGAACTGGCCGCCAAATAGTTGCATGCCAAGCAGTGCAAATATCAGTATGAACAAGAAGAGCAGGAACAGCAGCGAGATAATCGATCTCATTGAGTTCAGCAGTGAGATGACTAAATTGCGCAGCGATGACCAGTATTTGGTTACTTTGAAGATGCGCAGAAGTCGCAATGCACGCAGCACGGACAGACCGAACGAGCCGCCCTTGACCTCGGACCAGATCACCTCGAATATCGAACCACTAATGACAACACAATCAAAACGGTTGAACGACGACTCAAAGTAAATGCGGGGCCCCAGCGCGTACATCTTGATGAACATCTCCGACATGAAGAGTCCAAGGAATATGAATTCCGCATAGTCTGAAAGTCCCAATCAAACAAAGAATTAATTGATCGTTGATCTACAGATCTGATCTATGTACATATACTTACACAGAAATTCTGTGAGGAACGAGGGCTGGCCATAGTGCTCAACGGCCACGCACACTGTGTTCAGAAAGACGAGTACGATCACGAACCAGTAGAACCACTGCGTCTTCACTGTGTGACGAATCCAGAAGCGAAATCTTTTCTCCGCTCTCCAGAATCCCGTACAACTGCCTTGAGGTTTCGAGCGAGTTTTCAGATAACCTACGGGATGGAGAGCGAACACGCATTGTTAGTAGGATTCAATAGATGGCGGCAGCGTGTGTGAACAGTTATATAATCTCCACCTATAGCGCAAACCCAATTACTACAGTGCGTTTCAGAACTAAACGTTTAACAGTCTGTCAGTTCTTATAGCTCTAAATCCCACTGCTATCTTATATTAATTTACTCAAATACAATGTGACAGAGAGACTTGTAATAATTAGACACAGTGGTTGTTGACTTGGTTACTCTATAATTATAATTGTTAGCACTGAATACGTTTAGACAGACAGATCTAATTGATATGATTACGAGATGTACGTTACACAGGTGTGATGCATCCACTGGACTAGCACTAGACAGAGATTTCTTTTGTGTGCCGAGCTTGGACATCTGCATTCATGCTTATCAGATATCTGTTTAAATATCATGTTCTACTTAAAACGCATGTTTTCTTTTTTTAATATTAATTTAAATTAATTTTTTAGGTTTAATTAAAACTTCTTCTTTGCTTTCCTGTCTAAGCTGTACTTCGTGGAAGGAATTGAAGTCCGATTTTAAATTATATTTACTCTGATTATCATTCGATTGGATTTTCCAATTTGTTTTTGAGCTGAAAATCTACTTAGATAATCTACTTAGATGGTATTTTTAGATACCTAGTATTATCTTATAAGTTCGTGTTGGACGTTTATTTATATTTTGTATCTTGTTGGAAAAAAAGATTCTAACTGATTCTAAAATCCATTAACCGATTCCCATAATGCCCACTCGATTGCGCAAGCAAGCATAAAGCATCACTACATGAAACATTATTTTACATACAAATCAGATCATACATCTGTAACATTTCTGTATACAATTGGTGCAATTTACTCAAAGACCTATTTGTGATGCAATCTAGAACTAGCCCGGTAGAATGTTTTCAGGCAGTACAACTAAGTACATATGTATATGGGCTACTTTTTCTTTATTCAAAACGCTGATTTTTACATACAAGTACGAGTAAGTACAAGAAAGATGCAGAAATGCTTTACGATTCATGACTTGTACAATATATGTTTTTGTGTGTACAGTGTTTATTTTGGATAATTGCTTCGCCGATTTGTGTGTGTGTGTGTGTGTGTGTGTGTGTGTGTGTGCCGTGAATAAAGTAAATTATAATTTACTTACACATTTCGAAACGATATTCAATGTAATAGATTTACAAATTCGTTTTGTTGTTTGAGAATATTGTAAGGTTCAAATGAAGAAACGAAATATCAAAATTAATTGCATTTCGGTTTTCAATTTTTGTTTAGGCTAAGACAAAACTTGTATTATTTATAAGTATTTGTTTGTATTAAAGACATTCGAAGAACAAGAAAATCTAGGCATTCAAATGCAACTCAACGCAATTCAAAAGTTTTAGCATTTCGTGTGTTTTTTTGTGTAAAGAATTTGCAATATAGTACAAAGGTCCATGCTTTTCCCTCTTCCCAACGAATGAAGGACACTCTTCATAGACGATGTTAGCTATGACCTAACTTGACACTATTACACTTGAGCTGTTTCTTCCGAACCTTTTTCATCATGTCTAACATCCAAAATTGTGTGTCTTCAATTTAGTTTTTAAATATCTTTCTTACCATCATCGCCATAGTCCTCCTCGGCCTCCTCCTCTTCAGTGTCTGTAGATTTAGATTTGCCCAAACTTTTCAGCTTTTTCCGCTTGGCTGCGTTACGTCTTCGTGCTATAATTAAAAAAAAAAAAACAAAAGATCCGTGATTAATATCAGAATAAATATATGATAGCAGATTTGGTATTTATATGACAATCACCCTCCATTATGTGCATTTTCTCCTCCTCTGTTGTTCGCTCTTCGGCTAGTATCACTTCCTCTGAAATAACATCATTGCAATGCATTAATTGGTATTTGATATCACATAAAGAATATCGATTTGATCAACAAAATTTAGCACAAAAGGAGTATAGTATATGTGGGGATATGTCTTTTGTATAATGGGGAATCATGATTGGTCTATACATATATATTTATACGATATGTCCACCTTTGTGTTGGGATTTTTACTTTACACTTGGCAATGCATAGGAGCTTTTATTTGTTTCTGGTTCTATAAGGAGTAGGTACGCTACGAATGTGCCACAGGTGCTGGCTATATATAACTTATCTGAGTACAACTGGTAAATATATATATGTATATTTAGATGTATATAATGTGGTTGGTTTGTGCCAAACGAGATGATTAATATGATTGGAACCTCAAACTTTAGATAGATAGAGAGATGATCTCAAATTGACTTGATTACACAACTCTTTTAGGGATTTCTAGCGAAGTAAAATCCTTGGTGAAATCCGGCCCATTAACGCATGCACAAACTTGTGTAACAATCAATTAATTCTTAGGAATGATAAAGAACCATTGGAGTCTCGGATTTGTTTGATGTTCTTTGGATGAAGATCTTGACAAGTGAGAGTTGTGCTTGAGTTTTGTTGGTATATATTGAGAAATACTTGTTGAAAATTCATGAACAATTATATAACATTTCATAGATATGTTTGCGGGCAAAGTTTTTTGTGCATTTTGTTTGGTCTGTAATGTGTATTGAAAAGTATTTCTTGGAGTATTTGTGTTGTTTGGGATGTAGTATTAGGTGTGGTGTGGAGTGTATTATGGGAGTATATTGTAGATAGATTTTACAAACAAGAAATAGGGGTTAAATACTATACCAGCTTTACAAATCCATTCAACATAGCCGTTTAACTCTCTTTCTAGTTGCTGCTGCCTTCTAAGTTTAAGAAACTCTTGTCTATTTTCTACTTTTTCTCGTTCTTTTGCGAATTCACTACAAAAAATAATCAAAATAGAATGTGATAAACCAAAAATAGGATTTGATTCGATTTCGATTTGTTTAATCAGATGTAAATATGTATGCAGCATTAGCAATACAACAGCAAAATCACTTCACATCTTTGTAGGAGAATAGTGTTCCACAAATAAAACTAAGAAGGAAATTTAAGTCATAATTCGTTCCAAATGGAAATTCAAATAAAATCAAAAATTCAGACAGAGATAGAGATAGTGGAAAATATTTAGTGGCAACTAAAACGATAATAATAACACATTTTGATTATATATTTCTTGGCATCGGTTTGCTCCCCAGCGGGACCAGACCCTTGGAATCAGGTCAGCAGTCAAGGGAACCATTTTTGAATGAATATTATATGCCTAGAGTACACATACATACGAGTATATGTATGGGCAGTATGCAGGATGATTTATAGGGCAAGAGCCAGCGTGGAGTACTCCTCGTACCCATGATGTGCTGATGGCATCATCGGTAATGTGGCATGGGATGTGGGTTTTTATGCGTTTTATTTTTTATTCGGGGTGCACTTGTGTATGGTCAGTGGTGTGTAGATAGTATATAGTAGATATATAACTGATTCCTGATTCCTACTCCACTGGTAGGCTGATCAGGAACTGGCATCGCTTTCATTTCCGCAAGTAATAGAACTTGTACTATATATTTTTGGCTAGATAATTGAACTAGCTATTTAGTTTAGTTTCTGGGTAAGAGGGAAAACGTTGTCTCTATGTTAGTTTAAATTCAACTAAAGTTAGGTATAAGTATAGCAAAATGCATAGAATACGTACTGTTCGGGGTGGGGGCGAAAACAGAACGATTAAGGTGAAGTGTGGATTGGTTTTTTTTGAGGGGTGAACGAACAGCATTTCACATGGTACTTTGTTGGCTAATCAATTGATTTTGGAGAGTAGTAAATATTATTTAGCAACTCTTTGTGGCTGTGGTTTATGTTGGATTATTATTTGGAATTTCTTGCGTTCTAAGTAGTTAGCATATTGGGATTAGTAGTACGTACATAACTAGCAGTCAAATTCAAATAATTTCCGTATAACGATTATAGTATGTTGTTTGGAAGTACTTTTGGTTCTGTTTTTGGTTTGTTTTATAGATGGATGTCTGCTGAGATATTCATAGTACTAAAAGGGTTTTTCCTTGGGTACATACTATATTGTATAGCTCTGTTTCGAATTGCTTGGAAGCTCTAAATAGTCAATGGCTGGTTTACTTTTTGGTTGCATTCGAGGATGGGGTACTGGAACGGGGGGTGGGGCTTAGAACTATTTGTATAAACCTGCTTGTGTGATCCAGTCAAGGTACGAGACCATTGCTGTCTGAAACATGGCACGAAAGCGGCATTTTTGAAACTCCATGCGACGCTCGACGCGGTTACGTTCGTTTGAAAACTCTCTGAATATTCGAGGAATACGTTTCATTTAATTCATTGAACATAAAGACCCAAAAAAACAAAGTTGAACAGAAATTAGAAAAAGAAATCATATTTTCAAACTCATATGTACATATGTATAAACAGGAGCAGTCTGAACATCACGACAACCCAACCCTCACGAATTAAACCCAGCACAAATTAGTTGTACAATTTTGCAATACTTTACATCAAATGGGTGTCTGTTTGCGAAGCATCTATGCATATATACACACACGAAACATATGTATAATCTGGGGAGTATTCAATTTGCAAATTCCCCCCAAATAATCTTGTTGCGAATTCAAGCTCTCCCACCCAAATCAGATCAATTCAAAACCAATAATCAATATAATATAGCGGTAGAAACAGTAGATTGTGTTACGGTGTATAAAAGATCGGATAGATTGTGAGAGCATCCGATCAGCAAGAGAGACAGAGACAGAGAGAGAGAGAGAGAGAGAGAGAGAGAATCAACTTACCCACTCAAGACACCAAGAACTAAGTTGAGCATAAAAAATGAGCCTATAACTATAAGAGGCACGAAATATATCCAATTAAATGTTGAACCTAATGCGTCGTTGGTCTATGGATAAACAAAAAACAAAATAAATAAGTATTACACGATTTACTTAATGTGTAATGTTATGCAAAGGGTATACCCAATAGAGTATTGACGTCCAGCCCTCCATTGTGATGCATTGGAATACGGTCAACATGGCGAATCCAATATTATCGAAACTCGTTATGCCTGAATTTGGTCCATCCCATTTTTCCAGACACATGCTTGTGGTGTTGTTGCATACAAAGGAGCCGCCTGCCTTCTCTGTGCTGTTGTCCGTGTTGCAGGGTGTCTCTGATTCGCCCTCCTTCACTAGTTTATCTGTGATACATCCAGAGGCGGAAGGAAAGAGAGAAGAGAGTGTGAGTTCGAAGCAGTTCTATGTGCTCATTGTGCTATAGAATTTAGTTTACTTGGATCTTCTAAGCTATAACAAGTCTTATGCAGTGCGCCCGAATAAAACTCGAGTCCAATGATTGCAAATATTACGATTGCAAACAACACCAAGAGACCGATTTGCAGTAAAGGTGCCATCGCCTTGATTATAGATTTTAAAACTACTTGTAAACCTATATAGACGATGCAGGTGTAGATCCCATCCAGTTTCAGTTTCCACGGCAGGTTGTGTGTCAATTGAAGAGATGGAATGAATGGTTTGTATTAGTAAAGATTTGCAATGTAGCTGTTGGTAGATGTACATTCATATTTACAATGGGCTCACGGAGCCCCTACCACAAGCTCTAGTACAGACAAAACTAATTGATGGAATGACCACCAAATAGTAACTACATTCAAATTCTAAGGATAGAGTACCCAAAGATACTCAAATGAAAAATACAGAAAGTAATGGAAAGAGTAGAAGAGATTAATAACTTGAAACACGAGAAACTACTCACTAGGAATTCCAGACACTAATTTTAAGGGCCGTAGCACACGAATGGCTCTAAGTGTTCTTAGGTCTACCTCGGGCCCTATTTGTGGGTACTGTGTCATGAATCTGTTTGCAGACGTTAAGCGATCGAAACGAGTAGTTGAAATTAGTTGATTAGCGATACTCAATGAATATCCAAAAACAGTTCCAAATATGAATACAAAATCAATATATAGGTATGTATGTATGTACGTAAAGAAAAATGATTCCAAAAAGGGTGCATCTTAAATCGAACCTTAAATCGAAATAAAATCAAATAGCAACGAAAGGGTTTCAAATAATGTCGAATTAAAAAATATACATTAAATGATACATTAACGTTTAACGCGCGGCGGCTAGTTCATATATTTCGCACACACAATGGGAGACCCAAGCGAAAACTTTCAATAGTTTGTATCTGCTCTAATCCTCGCTGATCCCCTCTGGGGGGATGCACACATTCATCTGGAGAGCAAATCCAAGCTACTTTTAGTATACATATGTGTATAAAAATGTTCCATTAAGAAAATATCTAGCATATATAGTTTCAAAGAAAAAGAACTAAGATATCATTTGAGAGAAAAAGCAAAATAAAATACGTGTTAAGAAGGATTAATATATATCTTATAAAATGCCTAAGGGCATAACAAAATACTACAATTTATGTTATTTGTAACTCTCTTTTGGTTAGATATAGCATTTACCAGTAAATCATTAAGTTGTTAGCTATAAAATGTATCTTCTATGAGCCAAATATAAAGCTAAATCTAAAATAAATTGTCCTAGTCGCCACCTGCCTGGTATTGAATATATTCGAATGTTGTACATTTTAGTACTAATACATTAATTCATGATATAAACATAAAATGTATATTCCATGAGCCAATCACAATCTTAAATCTAAATTATATGTATTATATGATCTTTTGGGTTTGGCGCTATGCACAAACGATCTAAAATCGCCACTGCATCGTATTTAAGAGTAGTAAAACCTCTAAAGTTTGTGATTGCTATTGCTTTTACATAGATCCATGGTTTGGCATCCAAATCCCACGTTGACTGAATGGAATATTAATTTCTAAACTAATTAATAATGGATTATGAACTAATATTAAATGTTTTGTTACGATATGTGGTCCGAATAAAATATATAATAAACAGTTTCACATACATATAATCTAAAGATAATCTATTATCTCAAGTAAATATCGAACTCTTCTTTAGAAACTTTTTAATGGCAACATCGTTGCTCAGTCTTTAATAAACTATCCATTAATATACGAAAGCAAAAAAGAGCTCGATATGTACATATGTATTATATGAAATTAAAATAACTATATCCGATCTAGTTTGAATCTGATTTATGGGCGGCATCCTATCGATGCTGCCTATGGCCATTCCCTTTTGACTAGCCCATCAAATTTGAAACCCATTATAATATCTACTTGATCACTCACTAAGACGACACACACATCGTAGCTATAGCTTGTTCTATAATGCAATTTCGGATGTTCAATTACAATTTATGAAATGAGGCTAGCTAGCCAAGATAAATATTGAATAGGATATTAAATGTATTATCTCTCTCTGGCCTAAGATAGTTTCTATATCTAATGTTGTTTTCGTTGGCTCGGAGTCTTACTTGGAATTCGGGATACGAGCTTCAGCGGTCGTAAGACACGAAAAGACCTCAACATACGCAGGTCAACATCTATATTGGCCTCAGCAAATATCGTCATGGCTCTGTTTACGTTCGGTTTACGATCGCAAGGGGCGGGAAGTTATTAATAATATTAAAATTTGTTGCTTATAAACACATATTTACATGTAACTAATGTATGAAGAGACTTCCTCATTTGCTTTTATATGTTTAACAGTTTCTTAAAACTATAAAAACGAACGATTCTTAGAAATTACAATAGATCTTTAATCCTAATGATTCCGTAAGAAATTTAAATTTCGTTCTTCACGGATTGAATCTTCTTAAGAATATAGTATATAATAAAAGCGAAATAAAAGCTTTCATTGCGGGTGTCTAAAATACTTATTTTCCATTAAAAACAAAACGTTGGTATGTGTGTTCGGGTGTATTTTGATAAAGGTTAATCCTGTTCTGGATATTTATTTACCCCGTCACTACAACGAAAAAATCCATGATGTTCCAAATATTCCTGAGATAGGAGTGTTTATGCAGAACAAGCCCTAGGGCGAGGATCTTGAGCGATGCTTCTACACAGAAAATGCATAAAAAATAGGCCTCCGTTTTTTCCTAATTTATAAAAGAGACAGCAGATTATTATTTATAAATGAGATGATGGATCAGGGATGATGGATGAGGGAGGGAGGGGGTCTTGGTATTAGTCTTACCAATTTTTGAGCCAATACTGTCTTGTCGCCACCCGGCAAGTGCTCCTCCAGCGCCAACACAACACAGTTGGCTATGATTGTCAATAACACAGCGTATTCAAAGGGCGGCCATTCAATGATGAATCGTGTGTACTTTCTAATTGGGTTATCCTCGGTTAGGATAAACAATGACGTCGGACCACCACCTGGTGGGTTTTCCTCTTTTTTCGGGCCACCCATTCTATCAGCTAAGCGATGGGCTCCCTTTCGACCCAAGTGCCCCCCGCCTAAGGAGTCCTGTTGATGCCCTGCTAGCACTGCTTCCTGAGCCGCTTCCAACCTGTACACATGGAATATATATGATGATTGGGTAATAAAATAATAGAGATAATAGATGCCAACAAATTTGACTAATTGTATGGTAAAAATAATTAATTTAAATTTTATTTCCGCAGACAAGCAATGAAATACTTATTTGTTTGTTTGTTTTTATGTTAATTGTTGCACAATTAAAAAACAGAAAATAAAAAAAAATGTAGATAAATACATATTAGAAACAAGGACATGAACATACCGTCACTATATCCAATATCTGATACTTTTGTAACGACCGCTCGGCCATAATTATTTTACACAAGGTGAACCACAATACGCATTTGTCGGGAGTGACACGCCGTCCGCATGGCACGATAGCGGCAGCAACTGGACATTTAACTCGAGAGGCCAATTACGCGAGAAGCTCGGGGGCATTTGGGAGCATGGAGCACGGAGCAGCTGGCTGGCTGTGCCCCACCGATTAATTTTTTGGCAGAGGTGGCAAACGTGGTTTTCGTTTTGGAAGGGTTTTTTATCGAGGAGAAAGGATTGAGTGGGTACAGGGGGACTTGCGACTTCCGTGAGACTGTGTGTAACTATATACAATGGATAATGCTGTCTACTCTGGATCCAGATCCACCACTCGGCGCAACACTCTCTCCCGGGCTCAAAGGTCTCAGCCCCGCCAACTCTCGCGCGCTCTGGCACTCCTCCTCCTTTCCAGCTTTCCGTTGATTTCTGCTTGTTTTTTGTTTGTTTTTTTTTTTTTGTATTGTTATTGTTATATTATGCAGCTGGCTGTGACGTTTTTTATGTTTATATTTGTATGTTTTATGCTTTTTGATTTATTTTTTTTTGTATATTTTTGAACTGCCTTTTTGTGGTCCTTTCTGTTTTGCAGTTGGGTTGTATTATTGTATTCTATTTTGCACTATATGCCGCGAACGGGGGTACCAGAATGTGCAATTAGATTGCATTTAAAATTGATGGATTAATTTGCCTTGGGATCGCCCACCGAGTCACTTGTCATTGCACGCCCCCACACAACCACTTGGCCCCCATCACTTATGCAGATTGGCATTCGGTTCGTTTTTACTTGTAATACCACCCTTCCCCCTCCCCCCTCCCCCGCTTACACACACATTCACATGCACAAACATTATTTATGCACTGCGTATTTAAGGATATTCACACGTACACACATTCACCTACATATGTATATACGACCCGTATGACCCGTGTACAATTAGACAGAATGCCGTGCCATACTTATTCCCGGACTCCGGTTGCACTTGAGTGGGTGGCAGGTGTGTGCGGCAGTATTGTGTGCGCCTTTGAGCAGCAGCAGCAGCAGGAGCCGTAGCCGTAGCCTTAGCCGTACCCGTGGCCGTAGGTGTTTAGCCCGGAGGAGAAGATTCTTGTTTTTGCCACACGATAATTATGATGCTCGCACCGGGTCAATTCAGTTCATGACCTATAGAGAGAACACACACACACACACACACACACACACACAATCAGTTGCTGGCTCTCAGTCACTCACTCACATGTGTGTACACGTGCACCCGTCGTACCCGTACGTGTGAACGCGGCTGTTTTTATGATACTACTCGAATGCACTCGAAAAAAACGAAGGATCATGCATACATCATGCATACAAAATGCATTGGCTTTTCGTTTTCATTTTCAATTTACCCCACACAAGAAGTGTGCTAAATGTACACACATACATAAGTATTTATGGATAAATGGTTGGTTTGATGGTTTCTTGGTTTGTTTGTTTGTTGGATGGAAGGATGGATGGATAAAGGGATGCATGGTATACATATATGTACATATTTATGTATGTATGTACATATATGTATGTTGTTTCGGTTTCATTTCGTTTATTGGTATAACATTCCATTACTGGAACACGCTATGAATGAAAAATTTAGGGGATGAAACCTGCTGTGTGACAAGAGAAGAGCATAAAACCGAAAGAGAATCACTCACACACCAAAAAAGGAAGAGCAATGGCAAACGAGAAAAACATAGCCCACCCCCTATCAGCCCACCGAAAAAAGCTCAAAGAAAATACACACTCTGGGAGCGGAGCGGAGAGGCCACCGTGTTGTACCGCCGTTTCGTGGTGAATATGGAAACGATGAGAGAATCATCACACTGGAAAGGATGTTAGACGAGTACACGTGCCCGTGCCCGTGCCCGTGTCCGTGTGTGTCTTCTCGCTCTTCGCTCCGCTTATAATCATCCAGCGAAGCAGCACAAGCAATCTCATTCGAATTGGTGTTTACTGTTTCCCTTCTGCTCGTATTCTCAAAATGTTTGTATCTTCCATTGAAATGTGGGGTCGTTCATGGGAAATGTTTACAGTTGTTGTTGCCCCACTGCACTGATTAATGTTTTTCGGTTTTTTGTGGGTTCTCCTGATAACGATGATATTTTTGCACACTCGCTCTCTCTTTATCTCTCACTCTCTCTCTCTCTCTCTCTCCCACATAGAAATGCACTCTCGAACCGGCTGTAAGCCAACACTCACTCACACACACTCACTCTATGTGGGTTTATATCGAAGCATTCCCTGGTTTATATCGAAGCAATCCTTGTGCCTGGGTTGCATATATCGATGACGACGTCGTTCCTACCAACAATTATGTTTACACTTGATATTTTTCCCTCTACTGTAAATGAATTCCTGTGTTAACCCAAAACCCCTTCTCAGCCCCTCGTTATATCGCCTTAGTTTATGAATAACTTTAATGGCAGTCAAGAGTATTACGGCGTGGGTGGGTGTGGGAGTGGGAGTGTGAGTGGGCGGTATATTTTCTTCTTTCTTTTTGGGTAATGACGTCATTCCATGCGATGTTGTCTGACTTTTTGTTTTCGGTTGTTTTTATTTTCTTTCATACACATATTTTTGTCGTTTCTCTGGAACGGGATTATTCACGCACACACACAAACGCCACACACGGTCTATACACACGCTCTTGTAAATATAGTTGCGGTTTGCTGCCACTAGAGGGCGACAGACGGACCAACGAACTTCTAATTGCCAAAAATAAACAGCAACAATGACACACTTGTTCTCTTATTCTCTCTCTCCCGTCGTATCTCTGGCTCTGTTCTGCATTCATGTGCGCACCCCCTCTGCGCCATGCCTTCCCTACCCATACACATACTTCTTGACGCATTAACGAAATTGTTATAAAGGGTTGCCTACTTTCTGGAGCCTGTTCCACTTTCTACTTTACTTTCTGTACGGTTTAAATTGAGCCACTTCTACACAGCACACACTCAAAGACACCGTCACAGTCTATGGGAATTTTGGAATTTGAATTTTACTTGGGTAAAACTGGTCGCGTATTCCACAAAGCCACCACATGGTCTAATATCATATTAACCCACACTGAAGGTGTCACGGCCCACGCGGGGGACATTCAGCAAATGTTTGTTCATCTGTCACACACACAAGCACAAGCACACACATACATAGTACATATGTACACATAATACAAAATACAAGAAAAAGTTGCTCATAAGTCCACACGCGCTGTACAATTATTTTTTCACTTCCGTGGAGAAGGGCATATACCCACTCGTCGTCGTACACCCCATAATCTCCCCCTTACTCCCCCTTATTAGCGTGCGTTAAAATTTTATATTTTTTAATCGGGTGAAGAAAAAAGAGAGGAGAGAGAAGAAAAGGCATGGAGGGGGGACACATCGCATCGCATGCTGTGGTGTATGTGATTTTGCGTGTGTGAATGCCTGCCGAGGTAGCCGACAGCCATTCATTCACCTTCCAAACGGTATACACGCGTGAATACGTCACACAGCACCGATACCAAGTCGCGCTGCGCTGTAACCGAAACCGAGACAGGAATACCCTGCCACACGGCCACACACCACCACACCGCCCCGTAAACCCACCAACGCAACATTCCACCCGTTGTGCTGCTACCGCCACCACCACCGACCGACCCGCTGACCCAATCCCAACACACGCACACAAATGCAAAGCAATATCGGCGTGTGTGTGTGCGTGTATATTGTATATGTAGAGCGTTGTTCTTTGGGGCTTGTTAGCTCTGTAAAGAAACGGTTCAACAATTACAACTGTCACAGGGGAACGGGATCTACTAGCGACGTTGAAGCGCGACAAAAACATGTGGAAGACGGCTTACAAAGCCCTGTAGATGTGGCATTCTCTCTCTCTCTCTCTCTCTCTCTCTCTCTCTCTTGCACTGGACAGTGTCCCATACACACACACACACATACAGTGCAGGTGCAGGTGCAAATGCCGTCTGGACTAGAGGCCCTGTCACTATAATTCCCAGCCCAGTTTCCTTGGATAAACTTTCATTATTAGCCGAAAACGAACCGAATACACAATACTCTCTATTCGTTATTCTTTTGATCTGAAATTGTATTTTTTCCTTTAGCTTTATTTTCACCACTCGACCCGAATTTCGGATGCCAGCGCACCAACACATAAACACTTGCACGAACACACACACACACACACACACACAACTCTTGAGATGTGGTATTTTTTCTTCAATATTTTTTTCAAGCCAGAGCCTGCGGTGCCCGTGTTCCAAAAACTGCAATTAATTCGATACACACACTATAGAGAAGCACTAGTGGTGGGCGGGGTGGAGGGTTTGGATTTTTCTTGATCCAGATTATGAGAAAAGTCGCAGCTTTAAAAATAAAAAACAAAAACCGCTTTGCGCGAGAGCTACAACCGACATTGCCTCACCAGTTGGACGAAAAACTCAACAAACGCAAGACTTCAACTCGGCGACTTTGTATTACAGACTACAACTACAACACTGACACGAAGAGAGACATGGACACGGAGAAGGCGACACAGAGACCCAAAACGGGTAACGAGTAACGGGAACGGAGCGGGGGGGCACACATACACCAGAGCACATGGCAGTAGCGAAGCGGTAACCATCGGAATCAGCCGCAGAAGAGCCAGCGCCAGTCCCAGAATCAGCCCTGCGCTCTGGATCGAAAAACAAAAGCTCAAGCTCTTCTTGGAGGGACTGACACCAGAGCTGCATTGGCGCATGGAAAGTACACCCCTCGCTCATAAGATATTCGGCAGCTTAGCCGGGTTGGATGTGAGAGCAACAGAGACGACCATACACACATCTGGCAGCAGAGCAGACACAGAGCGCAAGGAAGCCGTTGTTTTCCGCAAGAGCTTTCGAAGCTTCGCCCACACCACTCTCCTCCGCCCACATAAACACCCAATCATGCTCTGCGGGAAGACATAGAAATTACAATTTCAATTATAGTTTGTTTGTTTTGGCAGGCAAACATCTAGATTCCAGACTTCCAGTTTGAGTCGCCATATGTTTTTTCCGCAGGTATCAGCATTTATTATTAATACTGAAACCCTGCTTGTAATAATTAGGGAAAGAAATAATCGTACATCGATTTGTTAGCTGCGCAGAAGCACTCAAGGATATGTTCGAAGACAACCCTGGTGTTCGCCCACACAATTAACGGGCATTTAAAAATGCATACTTGCGATTAGATCTCTCGATAAAAAAGCTAGACATTGAAGTGCGGTTACACATTTATTCATGCAAAAAGGCATCTCGATACAGCGAAAGAAGATAGCGCAAAGAGTGCCGCCATTTCGAGCATCTAAGTCACTGAGAGTTTGGGCATATCATATGCTTGTAATCGGATCATTTTTATAGCCAAGTTGAGCTGATAAATCTTCAGTTGCCACTGCTTAGATGTTCAATAATACATTTTTAACTATCGAAAACCAGCTCGGAAACGTTAGAAAAAGCAGCAGCAAAAGCAGCTTAGATACACCCAAAGCCCCTGAATTTCTTTCCCATAAACGTGGGGAATACCAGAACACTATTGTCTCCTCCGAAACCTCCTTGGGTAATATACATCAATTACATTTTTTTCTGTTTCAATTCTAATCATAACAGTAAGTACATCTTCCATCAAGTTGTCCAACTGGAAAATGCAATAACCATTTCACATTGTACATACTTATGACTGCCTAAATGTCTAGTTGGATTTTTAGTCTTTCCCCATTCCGATTCAAATTTAAGGCTAATCAGAGAAGCATTACAGTCCAAGTAGATTTAGCTACCATAAGCCATAACCATACCGTAACCATTGGAGTATACTCACATGATATCGCCTAGATTGGGACGAGACTGGACAAGGGCAAAGCTCTCCTGGTCATTTCCAGGTCCTGGAACGGCTCGTCGCCGTTTATTGGAGGCCTGTGAGCCATAGTGTGCACTCCTGCGGATGACGCCATCTCCGATGATGGCTATGCTGTCATCTAGGCTATTGATGTGGCTGTTGGTCAAACGCGCCATCGGTGAAGAGCCCCTTCTGCGACGAGCTCCCACACCGCCCAGCATCCTATCAACGATGGAAACGGAATAGCTCTGGTTAGTGGTTAGTGGATATGGCCAGTCAGGAAGCACAGATCACAGAACCCACAAGGTAGTCGTTAAAAACTATATTCTATTACTACACACACACACACACACTTTCGGGGCTGTAATCATACATATATCATATTGGTTGTTTAGAGCGCAATGAATTCAAATCACTAGAGATAGATATACGAGATTCGAGATCTGCATCTGTTGCCGCGTTACGATATTCCTGGAACCGTGAGTAAGATGCACCAGCTGGCACCGCTCGGGCAAAACTGATAAAATGCCATTGGCAGGGTATGGCCGATGGCGCGTGGGCTGTGTGGATTCCCTGCTGTGTATTCTGTTCCAGAAAAGGTAGATAAATGCCATACACACACACACACACACACACAAACACACAGATGCCGACGATGCCGATGATTCTGATAGTGGTTGATGACGTGCTTGATAGCGCCTGGCATGTGCGCACTACAAGTTACCGTTAGTAATTAGCAGGCGGCAGGGCCCCCCACACACACATTCATACGGCTTACATTGTGTTTCAACAGCGTCCGGCGGCGCCTAAGATAAGGTGAATAGTAGTTGCACATCCCAAAGGAGGCCTCAAAGACAGCCGCTAACAGCATGTGCACATTGATTTACTTTCTGTTAATAACAATGGTATTCAATAATCATTCAAATATGGAGTGCGCGCGTATGACCTTACATTTTAATAACTGCTTCATTTTACCATAAATACATTCCTTTTTGTAATTTCGTGCAAGTGGTTGGGAATTTGTGCAGAAAAATATATTTTTGCCTGTCCACGCGGATCTTGCAATATGTAAATATGCACATATATATGTGGAATACTCAAGCGTTTCAATGTACTCTCCTACAAAACATATGCAAACACAATTATTGGCCAAAAATGGCTGCAGTTTGATTGGCAATTTTACTTATTATTCCACTTTTTATTGTTATGATCAGACTGTGGCACTATGGCGGGATTGACTCGAATATGCGCCTTGCCAGTGCTGCTTGTCCACGTGTATCGATACGAACGGCATATCGATATATTGGGTCACACCAACTTTCGCTGTAGCGATTAAATACAAAAAAAAAGATATCTATATATGTACTTAATAATAAAAAAAAAACAAATCTGTTATGCTTTTAAATATGTTTCTATTCGTATTGGTTTGAATTATAAAATCAATGATTAAATGAACTGGTTTGCTTTTTGCAACTATCGATATACACACCTCTGCAGCTGGGACGATCCCTAATCCCTGGCTTTTGTTTTTATTAATCTTTCCGTTAAAAACGGTCTGCAGCAGCTTGTTGCCAAGTGTTTAGTAACAAGATAGTCACAAAGCCATATTGTGTCATAGATCAAACTGGATTTTAATTGTTGATGCTGCATGTTGCGTGCAGCAGCCACCCGATTCAACCACACCAGGCTGCTGCTCTCCCGTTTACACAGGGCTTTAGAGGCCAAGTGCAAAAATTGAATTTATAATTTTGTTTTTGCTGATTTTTTAAAGATTTATAGCTGAGATCAAATAAATAAATGGATTTCAAATTATAATTTTAGGAAATGCTTAGTTTAGGGTGTACATTAAGAATCAATTCAACTGGTCATCATCATCGCCATAATCGTCCCACATGTCGTCGGCAAATGCATCATCCTCGACGCCAAAAATACGCTCCAGATCCTGTTCGGTCTCGGCATGAATGGCATCTGAGGTTAGTAGATCCTGGTCCTCGGGGCAGGCCGTGCAGCGACTTTCATTGATGCCGTAATTGAGGCAATTGGCGCCCACGCACTCGCAGCAGCCGTCGTGGAACCAACGATAGCTATTAGCGCCCATGCTTTCGCACTGCTGTTTGCACTTGTTCGACCGAATGCAAGAGTTCACATAGATCACAGTGCAGTTGAGGGTGGCTCCGGGCTTGGGTCGGTCACCCAGTACATTGTCTGTGCCCTCGAGGCGGTGCTTGATGCCGGCACGCATGGGAAACCGCATGGTGGACCACTGGTCGTCGTCCTCAGCGGTGAGGGTGTCAAACAGTTCGGGAACACCTTCCACATCACCAATCTCCGAGCGCGGTGTCAGCGAGGGCAGGGCATCGGTGTGCTTGGGGCACATGTCCAGGCAGCCGCAACATTCCGTGTACAGCTCCCCCAGGCAGTTCAGACAGTCCTTGCAGCAATGGCAGTCGTTCAGCTTGCACTGACAGCTCTGCGTGAGCAAGCACTTCGACACCACTGAGCCGCAGACCACCTCATTGCAGCCATCATCGTTGTTGGCGGCCGCAAAAGGCGGCGACAGAAGCAGGAGGCATGAGTAAACCAGAGGCAGCAGCAGCAGCAGCATTCTTACACAACGAAGCCTGGGAGCACAATGATGCGTCAGGCATCATTTCGTATGACTTTATGTGTGTTACAGAGGTGCCAGGAGTCGGTGACAGGTAGCCAGAGGGCTACCGCAATCCCACTAATCCCCGCGGTGATGTCAGCGGCGGGGTAGGTAGGCGGGTTTCGCGGGCAATTTAAAAGAAGTTAAGGCTTAAAAATAGGCCTGGGACATAAAATAAATCCACAACAAATACAATAATTACGCGTTAACCCTGATCACCGTTGAGGGCACGGGCACAGGCAAGAGCAGAGGCCACTGACGGCTATCACAGCATTTATTTTCGAACATTTTTCATCCTGTACACAACATGGTCGACTGTTAAATAATGAAGGCCGTGATCCAATCAATAAACTTTGCCACATCTGCATATATTATATATTGATTGCTACAACAGTTCGTGGAACCAGCAGGACCCAACTCTAGGGCGGGTGGCAGTGCCGCTGAGACAGTGCCACGCAGCATCCAGCGACTGTTTTTCAGTATCATCAATCCAGCCCCCGATATGCCTGTGTAAAGCCTGCTGCTGCTGCTCTGTGGCTCCCTGGACTCCAGCTGTATGCCTGCGCAGAAGGTGCGGTTCGAGGAGAGACTACGAAAATGTGAATTCGCCTTGAAGCACACTCCATTCGCAACGATGGGTGCCTTTACCACTTTGGGTATACTGGTATCGGTTGCCTTTTTGCCTTCTCCCAGATGCTGCTGGGAATGCTGCTGCTGCTGCTGCTGTGTCGCATTCGATCTGTCGAAGCTCCAGCCAATGACAATGCCATGCTCCCCCACAATATACTCCGATTTGCTGGAGCCCGACCACAGACAGGCGGGACGTATGAACGTATTGAACCTGGGGGCAATGGAGCGGTCAGTGATATGGAAGAGGACTCAATTGCATTTGGTTGTGCTCACCGCACTTCGTCCTTGAGTAGGATGACTGCTATGTCCGCATCGTAGCTGCTCAACTGACTGTTAAAGTCCGGATGTATATAGATACCATCCACGGGTGCTGCCAGAGAGCCCTCCTCGTTCCAGTTCTTCAGATTGTGGCGCCCCAAAAAGACCAGCACCTCGTTGGCCGTGTAACGCTTGTTGAACATCCTGAAGCAGTGGCCCGAGCTGATGACCACGCGTGACGAGACGAGTGTGCCGCCGCATTGGAAATCCAACGATGTGAGATTGTTCACATAAATGGCCGCCAGCCAGGGCCACGAGCCGCGCGTAATCGATGGCAGGCTGCTGCCCACGGCGCTGCCATCCACAGTATCCTGCTCCTGCAGCTCTTCCTCCGACAAGTGCTCAAATTCTTCATCATCAGGGTCTTCGTTGTCGGCAAACACGGGCGATGTGATGGCATCCGAACGCCTCGAACTGAGAGGCAGCCGAAAGTCGAGACTGCTGTCTATCTTTCCACAAATCTCCTTGGGCGAATGAAAGGGTTTTCTATACGGAAACGGGCATTAACGATAACGAATGAATGGCATTGAGAAGGCGCTTGCTTGAACCGACCACAATCCGTATGCATACTTCTTGAACTGGCTGCGCGGCGGCACTGGCGGCGGCGACTTCGGCAGGGCCTCCACTTCGTCCAGTAGAAGCGAAGTCTTCTTGTCCGGTATAAAGGTTAGTTTTCTGGTGTGCTCCAGCTGGATTTGGGTCATAAATATGCTGTGATCTGGAAGGGCGAGGGATTAGCAGGGTGCTTTGTGAACAGACGCGTATACAGACCGCCAGATCCAAAGCAAATTACATGATTGTTGGCCGAAATCAGCAGCAGCTTGGGTGGGAAGTGATGCTTTGGAAAGCGTATCTTGTAGAGGACTGGCGCATTTTTTGTGAACTGTCCACGGGTCAGTAGTTCTATTTCGCCCAGATAGTTCTGCAAAATGGAAGGTATTAGTGTATTATATTGCATGTGTATTGTTTGCCGGTTAGCCCTCACCGTTGTTGGCTTTCCCCTCATGGAGAGCGTGACGCGCAGCTGGAGTGGCTGCCTCATGTCTGGATTTCGCACGGCGATCAAACCGAACCATTCATTGCCATCGAATCGATACTGAAAGATCTTTGGGCAGGGACTGATGGGCATGCCCTGGGCAATCACCTTGGACACGTGCTCGAAGCAGATCAGCAGTATTGTGGTGAAATGCAATTTCATTTCAATTTTCGCGAGTCTTTTACTCACACACACACACACACACGTGCACATATGCAAACGGACATGAGATATGCAAATGCATGCGGTCATTACTTTTAGTATGTAGCCGTTTAGAAGACCTGTTCACAATGAAATGCAGTGATTGAACGTTTAAAATGATCTTAAATCTTTGATGCCACATTTAAAAATATCTTCGGACTGTTTTGGCTACTCCAAAACGAAAATCGCGCCTCAGAGCTCATAACCCACGACCAGGGTGTCACAAATATGTAGTGTGCAATCATCGCAGGTATCTCTGCAAAACTATCGATGTTTGTTAATTTTGGCGATATATCTATGGTTTTTAGGCGAAAACAAGGCTCTGCCTAGGTCGGTGTTGCCAATTTAGCTATTTTCCCACAAGATCTAGCGAATTTTAAATTGTCATACGCGAGATATTTTTTAAAACCCCAGGTTGGCATTATAGCTATCTTCTAAGTTATTTTTGCGGTATTTTAGCTTTTCTAAACCATCTGCCATATTCAGGTATTTTTAGGCTTCAAGTACTTTGTAGCATTGTTTTTTATTCCGGAAATTATAACTTTTTAGAAATTAGAATCACACCAGGAACAAAGTGGCTATAATTTGCAAACTTATGCTGTTTAAATAACGTTTTAATACTTAAGCGTTTTTTTTTAGCTTCTATCAAAATTGTCTGGCTATTTCTAGCTTTTTTCAAAGGTAGTTTAGCTCTTTAATGACCCGAAGAGTTGCCAACACTACTATCGATATAGCCGCAACTTAGCCTATCGGCTGCACTCAGATATGTTAAGTGTTAGCCGTTAATAACTCAAATGCCATCAAGTTTAGCAGTACATTTTAATCCAGAAGTTTAATAAACATTTGTTATTCAGCTGCTGCAACTTCTGGTGCCGCCTCCGTGGCTGGGGCCGGTGCTGTTTCTTCCGTAGGCGCCTGGGGGACCTCTTCAGCTGCAAGTGGTGGCGCCTCTTCTGCCGCTTCAGTTGGTGCTGGGCCTTCTGCTGATTCTGGACCTGGTTCTGCCCCATCCGCCGGTGCAGCAGCAGCAGTCCCGCCTTCTGCTGGCGCTGCAGTTCCGCCTTCTGCTGGCGCTGCAGCCTCACCTTCGGCAGGCGCTGCAGCAGGAGCTGGGGCTTCGCCTGCGGGTGCTTGAGCTTCGGGTGGTGGTGCTTCTGCCTGTGGCTGTGGCGGTGGCGGTGGTGCCGCTGCCTCCACTTTCTCTGGAGGTGGTTCTGGGACATCATGCGACTCTCTGGTGTTTTCAGTCTTCTTGCTCTGCGTAAGCGAAAGGGATTTAGAAAAGGAAATGATGTCGACATTTTTTAGCCCGAATAATACCTTCTTTTTCTTCTTCGTCTTGTCCTCCTCTTCTTTTTCCGGAACCTCCGGCTGCTGCTTGTAGTCCTCCGGGAAGAACTTGAGGGCCTCCTCCCGCCCGGCAGTGACATTGGGACTGACATAGGTGGGTGCAAACACAACCAGAGAGAGCATCATGTTCGATTGCACCTTGGAGACCTTCAGTACGATCTTGTCGCTCCTGAAAACACACACAAAATTGAAAGAACAATGAACGGGACTGGAAGAGGAACAAATACTTACGGAGACTGTTCAACGCTTCTATTGTAACGATCTGTTGAGCTGGCTAGCAGTGTTGTCTCAGCAGGATCATCGGTGGTAAAGTATCCATAGGAAGGCACATCCGACTTTTGGCGATCGACGGCATTCATAACCTCCTCCCGCTTGGAGGCTTCAAAGGCCATAATGACATGTGGGGGTTCCGGCGTGGGATCGGGAGGCAGGAAGCCAGTCGTTTGGCTCCGGAAGAACATATAAACGAGAGCGGCATGTGTCCGCCTGTTGTTGGGCACCCAAATCGGTGGCATTTTCACTGTTTTGGTGCGAAACCTTGGCTTGACAATCACCTCCTCGACCACCTGCTCCTCCTCTTCGACCAGGTCGTTTAAGTCCAGGTCCAAATCCAGGTCTATGCCAAGATTGGCCAGTGATTGCCTCACATCCTGCTCTGGAGTCTCCTCTTCACTGCCCTCCTCCTCGCCATCCAGATCGGCGTTGTCGTCCGCTGCGGGTGCCTCCTGTTGGACATTGATGATGGACTTGATCTTTGCTTGCTTTTTCTTCTTGGCCTCCTCTTCGGAGCTGATCTCCTCGAACCACTCTTCGCCCTCTGTGGAAAAAGAGAGCGGGGAGAGTATGGGGGGTTAGCTCTGCCCGCACGCCCGGACTGCAGCCAATGTTTACCTGCAAGCTCCACCTCGAACTTGATTTTCATTGGAGCTATAATGGGCGGAATGGGATGCTCCTTGTTGAACTCTTCATTTGGTGGCCCCACCCGCTCCTTGGTCAGCTCTTTGGCATAGGCTGTCAGGACATTGGGCACAGGGCCGGCACCCTCATCGATCTTCCAGAAGCACATCAGCAGCTCCTTGCCATCTAGCTGCTCGATGACATCGGGCGGCAATGGATTCTTGCATGCAAAATTCACACTCTCAAATTGTTCGGCCGTCACTTGGATGACCTTTCGATCCTTGCACTGCATCTTGAGTGCTTCGGCGGGCTCTTGGAGCTTCTTGAACATATCACGATTGACATGCGGCCCAAAGACAGTGACCCCAATGTCCGGTAAATTCGCGAGAATGGCATCCGTCACAAAGGTGAGATAATCCGTTTGCTTCTTATGCTTGGCCTCGCGCTCTATGCGCTGCACACGCTCCTTGATTTCGGTTTTGACGCGCAATTGCTCCACCTCGATGGGTTGCAGTTCGTTGACCGCATAGGTGACAGGCCGAGGTGCCTTTTGTAGGGTCTTTTCCAGCTCCTTGTTGAGCATGGCCATCAGCTTTGGCACATCTGTGCCAAACATAATGTTCACTGCCCTGCCACCCTGTAAGCCAATAGTGATTAATTGGAACCTTTTTAGGTGTCTTCCAATCCATAACTTACGGTCACGAATAGCCACGTGGGCTCGCTCCTCTTGTTGAAGCGCTTAAGGGCTGTTATGGTATCCGATTTGCACTGCCAGGGTAATCAGGACGATTAGTTAAGTACGCTAATGAAGCGCAGCCTCTACCTACAATGGCCAATTGAAGATTGTCGCCACCCATTTCCAGTTTGATCTTACGCAGGCCGCCCACCATGCCCAGACAGGGGCCACACCACTCGGAGTACACATCCAGAACTGCTCGCAGAGAGACGGGGAATGAACGGGGTTAGGGCTCACCATATAGACCAGCATATAGCTACCCAAGAGTCCGGGACGTTCGAGGAACTTTTTAAAATCCACATCATTCTGTAGATCCGCCTGCAACTGTTGCACTCCTCCCTTCTTTGCCATGCTCTGCCCGCTAGCCGCTAGCTGCTAGCCTCTAGCCTCTAGCCAAATGAGTTGTACAATTTTGTTTTATAAAACTGAGGCCTAAAAATTGAGCATTCTGCTACCATGTCGTAGTGCCCGAATATGTATAATTTTCAACTGAGGTTTTTGAGAATTCAAATTTGAGTTATTGATCAAACAAAACTGTTGCCCAGAAACGGAAACAGATTCCGGGGCTGGGGTTGGCACTGGGACTGGGACTGGGGCTGGGCTTGGGTTGTGTTGCGTGGCCATTCTAATCGACATTAATTAGTTAGCCACACGCTCATGTTGTTTTAATTATTTTGTTTTGTCCATTAAAACTAAACGCTTTTTACACACATAAAATATAACAAAAAAAAAAAACACATTTTACACTCTGTTTTAACATAGTTAACATAAAATAGTTAAAATAATTTAAACAAACACACAAAAAATACAATAATATATCCGAAGTATGGGTTGCCGCTCTACAAAAGTTTCATATTCAACAGTTATATGGTTTGTATATAGATAATATATATGTATATATATGGTATGGTATGGTATGGATAGTATACAAGTACATACAAAAGCGATCAAGACCTTTCTGCTTAAACAATTACTATATACAGATATTAACACAAAACTAAAGGTTAGTCCTCCACGTCCACGTCGATCGTTCTTCGATGTATTGATCCCATCCGTTGGGTAACTTATCTCACAGAGATGCCATTGATGGTGATCACATTGCTGGCCACTGGCTCGGGTTCGTATACCTCGTCGTTGCTGCGCATCTCGTACGGAGCATCATAGAACTGCTCATTTGGTATTTGATCATAAATGTTCTCTGTGGATAAATCAGATCAGTGTCACATCGAACCTTTGTAATGATGCCCACACCATTCACTTACCCGAGCGATTGTTGGGGAGTCTTTCGCCATTTGCGGCTCCAGCGGCCCCACCACCACCTGGATTATTGCGCCCGACACCGCCTTGGAATGTGTTGAAGGTGGCCGCCGATGGATTGTTGTCCATGTGCATGCGATTGTTGGCCTCCAGCGTTGAGTACGACATGACTGCCGCATTACGCTCATCCTTCGTCTCGGCTGCCTGCACATTTTCCGTATTCTTTACGGGTCGCGCCTTGTTGCGGTATAGAAAAATCAAACCAAAGACCACCAGCAAGGCCACAATTATGGTCGCGCCTATGCCCACGCCAGTGCCCAGCTCCGAGGTCTCTGGCCCCTCCACGGCGGCCAGTTCACAGTGTGGCTGCTTGCCACTCCAGGCCCCATCCTCGGTGCACTTGCGAAGATACTGTCCAATACGATTGTAGTTGGGAATGCAGTGATACTCGGCCGAGCCGCCATACAGCGTGGAATCGTTTACCACAATTACACGACCGTTCTCAATAGCCAGCGGTCGCCCACAGTCGACGGCTGTAGAATAGGGAAATTAAATAAATATTTTATTACTTTAAGACATTCATTCTATAATACTAAATGTATTGGCATTTGTTTTCATATCGTTGGAGCGAGTCAAAATAATACTTACGCCTGCAGGTTGGAGTCTTGCCCGCCCATTTGCCATTCTTTTGACAGACGCGCGTATCATTGCCAATCATGGTGCGTCCCTTGAGGCACTTAAAGGTGGCCACAGAGCCCACCGCGCGAGTGCCAGCTTCGACAATTAGGTTTTCGTTGATATTCGGTGTATCACAGACAACCTCCACACACTCGGGCGCCTCGTGGCTCCAGTTGCCATGCTCTGTGCAGAGTCGCCGGGAGACACCGTTCAGCTTGAAGTTAACATTGCATTCGTAGAGCACAGCGGCTCCATAATATGTGGCATTTGTGGCCAGGGTAACCTTGCCATTGGTAATGTTC